GCATAGAAACACCCACTGAAATGAAGTTAAAGGATTATTGATAGAAAACCAAACCTTGTCTTCTCCTGCCTGGTCTGCTTCTTATGACATCATCAAAAACAGCTGGCTCTTATCTGTAGTACCTCCATTCCGCCACTAGATGGAAACAACTCAGCACTTCTACACTATGAAGCTGTGCAATGTCAACAAACTGATATACAAAGGAACAAAAATGACTAATCTGCTATATGGTTACCATCACTTAGAAAATATCTAGCAAATTATTATTCACATCACATTATGGGGATCATATGAACTACATCTTCTATCACTTTACATTAAACTTCATAGTCTCTAACAACTGCACAGCTCATCATACCTCGACTCAACATTTAGTACAATATATGCTCAACTAAAATCTTCCAACTTACACAAAACCTACAGCACAACATAGACACTTACATAAAAGATAAAGAATCTCCTGGAATAACCACACAGCATCACTTTACATATCCTATTGAAAGTATTTACTTTGGTTTGGGATTCATACTCAGCTTTTTCTTTACTACTGTAACTTCTAAGAAAACAAAGGGAAAAACATGACTTGCCACATTACAATGCTACAACTCCTATATCAGACTTGATGGATCACAGCTACATGTTCACTGCTTTGAGCTGATCGACATAAACACAATGACAATAAACACTGTCACACATCATCAATCAACAACTCTGCTTCCCCTCAATGATGTATAAGCAATATATGTAGAATTACTTATAGATATACTTTCATATATGTATAAGTAATTCTACATATACACTTTCATTATTGAATAACAAACAGATGATTCATGAAGAACTGCTGTGAGGAAAGAAAGACTGGAAAGAAGACCTGTAAAAAAACAAAGACTGATCATTCCACTTCCCCATGATGGACATTAACACCAAATAAAGTTACCTTTACAATTAGTCACACGAGTGAAATCTAGACCCAACAGTAGACCCAGACTGCAATAAAATAAATCTGGCTGTGTTTTGTTTTGTCTCCTGTTAACTTTCATTTTATTATCATTATTTTTAAAGCTAATCATAACAAATCATAGAGAGAGAAAGAACAGATTTCATTAAAAAAGAGGAAAAAAGTTTCCACCTTGCAGTTGTCTAAAAATAGAAAAACAGTTTGAAAGGATGACATTTCAACATTTGGAGGAATTACACTTGTGGGAAAACTTACAAGTAAAACAAGTCACTGTAACTTTGATATGAAATAATAATAAAAATAATCACTTGTGGTTGTCTAACAATTATAAATTCCTATTAAATCAAAGACACTAAAAGGAGTATGCTTGTCATTTTGACATTGAACTTGAAATGGTGTAAAACATTTAACTGCTATTAAAGATCACTGATGATGTGTTGGAGGTACATAGCAGGTGAAAGGTCAGGGGTCAAATGGGGACTAAAGGGAAAGTAGAGATGAACAACACCTTATTAGGACATAGATTGTTGAACAACTTAAACGTGTCAGAGAAAAGACATGGGAGGAACATTGAGCAACCCTGAGACATTAGCAAAGACATCAGGAGAAAACCTCAAACACCTTTCAACCTGACAGATGATACAAGTCCTTCTGTCCAAACAAGGAAGCACAGCAACAGTATTAGCAAATAAAAATGCTCCCAAATCGAGTATGAACCCTAGGTAAAGGGAGAGCAAAAGAGGAATCTTTGGTTGGATCCTCCAGGCAGCTTCAACTCATGAAGAAGAGCCGGGGCCACAGAGCCAAAGACTGTCCTGGTCATGGGGTTCAACCCGTCAGCCCAAACACCAAACTCTGTTCGTCTCTCAAAAAGGTTCCCTTTTTAGTTCTTAGTATCACCGATAGGGAAAGATAGGCTAGATCAGTGCTTCTCAATTATTTTCCGTTACGCCCCCCCTAGCAAGAAGAAAACTATTCGCGCCCCCCACTCCCCACCGTGACTATCCATCTCTGCATAACATTTTTTCCTTATTAACATTTTTTTCGCTGAAAAAACTCTAGCGGCTTATCGGCGTGATTGGGATGTAACGTATTTAAGTGACGCGCTAATTTATTTGGCTTCATGCTGTCCGCTGCGAGCATTTTTAGACACAGCAAACACACCGGTCTTTCCTCTTCTCCAACTGTAGTCACAGTGAAGCCAAGCGCTAAATACGCTTCGTCGTATTTCCTCTTCTTAGCTTTCGGTTGACTTTCTGTTGTCTCATTATCTTTGTCTCTCTCCGCTTTTCTTTTCATCCCTGTGAAAAACTTTTTCATGTTGGGGGTTGTTGAATAACGGACGCCATAGACTGAACGCAGTCGGAGCTTTTTGTTGACTTAACACTGCTAACCAAGGCAAACCTGTTGTCTTGTAAGTCGTAAAATGTTGCATTGTCGCAAACGTGACAGAAGTAACAATGAGAGCGCCACTGCTGCCTACTGTGCGCAATTACACTTTATACTAGTACGGCCAAAAAAAAGCCTGTTCCCCAGGATCACACGCCCCCCCAGGTATCGCACCGCGCCCCCCAAAGGGGGCCCGCCCCACTATTTGAGAAGCACATAGCTAGATGATTGATTAAACTAATTTGATTATTTCTGCTACTTAATTCAGCTGTACTGACTCTTACAAAACTGCTTTACTAATAAAATATTTAGCATAAAGAAATTCTAAAACATGTTGTGGACATTCAATTAATGAGTCGCCTCAAAGTTCTTGGATGGCAGTAAAATAGCTGTGATGTTTGATTCTGGGGAAGAAAACTAGGTCGTGTTTTATAGGTTGCTTTAGCCCAAATCTAAACTACTAAAACCAACCTGACTCAGTTACGAGTGCTAGTTGTAATAAAGAGAAGGAGCGACCGTTAACAGATGTGCTCTGTGGAACTAGTTGGCTGCTCAGTCTGGCTGAATCACAGGGGGAAGAAGGACGACAGATCTGGATGGAGGTTGTAAAAGTCTGGCAAATACTTTCTCGAAACCAACTGAAACAGAGTTTCCTTCAGTTCTGGACAGGGTAAATCACAGCACATTTGGGGAAACTCAATTGACCCATTAGATGGAGAGCTGGTAGCACATCTCCCCTCTCAGAAGAGGAAGTAGTGACTGAGAGAGGAGAGAGTGAAAGAAGGGGGCAGGGGGGTCACAGAAACAACACACCAAACCTCATTACATCCAAGTCAAGCTGCTTTTCTACTTTATTCTAGATTGCCTTCATGATTCCATTACCAAAAACAATGAACACAACACTGAAGATTCATCTATCATGAAAACATGACTAAAGAAGAAAAGACGAACCGATACAAATAAATTACAAAAACATAAACACCCCAGTGCTGAAACTATCCCAACATTAGCAGGAATTGTCCTGAGGAAAGACTTTTACCCTGTTGGCTTTTATTTTGCTGTTGTTAAATACATTATAAGAGCAAGCTTGAAACTAGCAAATCCATTTACCTTCACTACTTTCATTCTCTACTAGACCTTCATCCCTCACTTATCTCTTGTGCCCTACTAGAGTGATTAACATACATTTGGACCTGAAAACACCCCGAACTACATGATACACACAACCTATCCATTGATTTCTGCTAATATGTGAAAACTATTTACAAACATTTCTGATTCCATCTATTGTGGACTCTCTAATGGCTACAGCAACACATTTCAGCTTTCAAAGATTAGAAACGTTCATTTTGACATAAAGAGAGACTTATGCTAGAGAAACACCTCTTAAATATACACATTTTACTGACAAACATTGTGTTATGTGTACAACATGTATAGGCCCTACAGATCTTTCATTAAACATCAATCAAAGCTTTGGTTAGTATTGTGTAATAATTTCATTTTCCCACAAGATGGCGCCTATTCACTCTTATGTGCATCTGAGACGCAAGAAAATGGATATTAGATTCTTCACTGGAAACCTGATGGTGAACATCAATGCAGCAAATGCAACATGAGATAATGAATGGATCAGCTGTACGTTATGAAACATGTAGGCTGACATTATGCTTACCTGCTCATTATATTCCACTGGACAGTAAAAACTGACTGTAAATACATATACAGCAGCAGCACTAACCCACCGCCACTACCACAGTTGTTTCACTGTAATATCGGAAGAGAAACTCCGTCTTTGCCAGAAGCAATGAGTGTCCCACACTAATACTGCATCTCTATGAAACACAGCCGAAATCTATGATCAAATGTTACTGGTGAAAATGGGTACAAATACATAATTTCTACAAAAAATGAAGAAATTTGACAATCTAAACTTACAAATTGAGTTAATGAAATTACTAATTACATTGTAACATCTTACCTTTACTTTTTCCTTTCTAAGCAAACTGTTTGGATGAAGAATCCAGAATTTCATGTGAAGCACTAATTCCTCTTCCATGAATCCAATTCCTTTAGACGAATCCTCCAACCTGGACTGGATCATTTCTGATACATTTAATGAGTGAAAAAAAACCTTCTGATAGTTTATAAGATCATTTCAACATGACTTTATGTAGGAACATCAAATGTCTCCATATAATATCCACTACATTGTCTAACAAGTTCATAGCTGATCATTGCTCTGCTGACTTTTGATTACATATATTGACATAAACAATGTGTGATAATACAAAACCTATAACACAAAGATATTCTCCTAAATATTTAGAGTACATGAAACACTTTTTGTACGTTACTTAAAGTTTTTACTATTCCTCTTATTTTTTACATACATTCAGCATGTTTCTCATTAATCATGCCTATTAGAGAAGTATGTGCTAAACGCCATTTTCACACATTACAAGGACACGACTCCTATATCAACCATTATGCATAATAGCTACATTGAACTGCTTGCAGCTATATGATATAGACGTGATGGAAGCTACATACAGTCAAACATTTGCCGATCCACTACAACTATGTTTTCCCACTAATGTGCTGCTACTGGATGGTTCCTCAAACATCTGGATAAACACTGCCATGACACAAGTACTTATTAAACTTTAATGACAAATACCTCATACAAAACTACATAAACCCATTGCACATACAAGCAGGAACAGCACAAAACAGAAAAGTGATCCTGGGAAACAGAAAAAAGGCAAACAGGGAACTAACAGAATTTAACTGGAAAAACCAGAAAAGAAAGTGGAGGAGAAATTCATGAAGAAAACCTGGAGTTACTGTTCAAACTTATTGGGTCTTTTCTTATTGAAATAGTGGATCTGTTGATGTTTAGGTACCATTATTTACATATATTTCATGTGACTAATTTGATCGTGTTTTACTGTCAATGACTTCAATTTGTACTTTGTATGTTTTCAAGCTTGATTTGCCAGTTGGACATTTAGGAACATGAGGTGTACCGTGCTGGAGCATCAACAAAGGAAAGGCAAGAAAGAACAGAAGCCACTGCAAGTAACAGAAACAGAACCACATGATCTGTTTGGTGGAAATTATCTAGGATTCAATTGCTCTTGTAAAGCATCACAGAGACACAACATGGAATACATTTTGTTTGCCTTCTTTACATTACAGCATTGTGAAAGTTTCTTGTTTCCTCTTCAAACACACAAATTCCAATCAGCAAGGAAAACATAATGATTTATTCTTAGCCCAAATATCCCATGCAAACTACACTGAGGACTAGTAACTCCATTTGCAGGTACCACTCCACCCATACAGAGAGAGTTTTGTATTACGCCTTAGAGACAAACATCCTGTTAGGACCAAGTGACTGCAAACTGCTTCACCAGATGTCAAACATCTTGTTGCCCTTAAAAGGACTTTTGTTCATGATGTTGTTGTTGTTCAGTCTAGAAAAAGAGCAAAGCAGAAACCAGATCTTAATCTTTGACAAACAACACCATGGATTGATCTGCTGTAAGGATCAACTCCTCCACTGAAGGAGCAATGTTTGCTCACCTCACTGAATGAATGTTGGGGTTCAAGAAGAACATGTGGAGTAAAGAATCAATGGAGAGATCAGTGATAAGATTGTGACTCAGACTGAAAAACACAGAAAACAGAGAACATTATGTAAACATGTTGATGATTTACACATAGATCTGAAACACTATAGAAAAGAGAACAATACTACTGACTTTGCTTGATCTGCCTGTACTTTTTACATTACAAACAATACAACACTTCGTAATGACCCATTCCCCAGCAGCTGAAACAATAATATCCTACTCTGACCTCTCTGTTCAATGCCTGGAACCAGCTTTTACCTCACATGGTGAGATTTCAAAGTACATCTGTGCCTCATCTACATATTGATGGAAGATAATCTTATATTCTCAAGTGAGAAAATGGACATCTTTCATAAAACAAGTCCCATAATTGAACATATGGGTACCCCATAGAACTTCTGTCTACTCTGATGATATGTTGTCTCTTGACTAAAAGTACCAATTCATAAAGTCATAATGAAAAAACATTTCTGCACCAGAGCGTCAGAGAAACTCTCCAGTCACTTCAACGATATGTGATATTGAAATCATAACCAATGATGCACTGATAGCCAATGAACATCTGCACTGCAGTCGTTCCACAGTCTGTATTCATGTACATGTGAGAAACAACTTGGAGAAGCTCTGTCTCAGAACTGTGGTGAACACCAACACCAGACTGAAACCAGTAGGTCATCTCTGTTCAACTGTCACCAACTGTTCACTGTTGCATGTAAATAGTGTTGTTTGCATGTCCTGGGGGAAGGAGGTGGATAGGATCCCTTTCTTGAGATGGAGTGACTCAGATCTTGATTGGGTGATGCTTGTACCTGGGTTGACATTGCAGTAGCCTAACAATCACCTTCCTACTCACTGCCACTCAATTCTAGTCTCACTACAACAACTGACTAGTGACAAAACATTAATTCAGCAACATCAAAGCAGTTACCTATAATTTCTCAGAGCTTTGAAAACAGAGACCACACTGAATAATCAACTGAAAAACTGGAAGGACATAGGAAGAATCAGAGGACAGGAGATTGATTCCTAATGACTCTGTTATCATAACCTTACAGAGACTGTGCTGAGAGAAGGCTAACGTGATTCACATAATAGAGCAAGGGAGCTAATGTTGGGAGGTACTCCCATGATGCACTTGAATCCATGACATAAGACTCAAAGAAACAAGTAGGATCCCCCATAGCTGAAGCCCAAACACACAGACTGAGCCGAGAGTCCAGTGGACAAAATAAAAGAGGACATGGCCTACACAGGCTAATTGGGGAAGAAAAAGGAAGAAAGAAAGCGATGCTGGATAGAGCAGTCAGCTCCACCAGCCCTGACACATTACCAATAACTGCTTTTATAACCTGGACACTCCGAGGCCCAGCACATCCTGGATGACATTACTTCCAGTGTGCCTGAAAATGACAAGACTCCACGTAAAGGGAACGTTACAAGTGCCCAGCTTCACAAGGGGAATCTGATGAGTGATACTTGAAAAGCTGAACATAATGGTGAGTACAGCTGTACATGGGGTTGGAAATGGGTTAACCTGTGATGAAATCCAGTGGGGAAAAGGCAGAAGGCAGAGAAACCCTTCCTCAAGATGGAAAGCTGGGAACAAACCGAGGAGTCTAAGACTAATTCCTGGAAATTCCCGGTCATGTTTCTCTACCAGGGTATGACTTGACCATCGTCAGAGTTTCTACACCACTGGAATGACTAAGCAATCTGAGAAATGTAAAACCTCAACAGAGTCCGTGCCTCTGATATAATTCATCTGAATAAAGAAAGGTTTAGAATAAACTGCTGGTTTTCACCGAGCTAATGTTGCACTGGCAGCATGCAGGTTTCTCCATCACTACAGTTCTCCCTGTAGTGATGGACCTGGAGCTTCATACTTGAGGAAACCTTTCCATGACTTCCTCCTTTCTCCCTTTGGCCCTGGAGGCCGAGGCAGTGGCTCAGTTTCCACACACACTTTTCCCCTATTGGAAAATCTCAGAGAAACCTAAAATATTTACTTCACACATCAATATACACACAGGTGTTTGACGTCAGGCGTCTTCAGATTCGGTCTGGTTGCCGCTACATAGATCTTCTATTAACTTGTAACTTGTTGTTTTCTTATGCTGTTTATCACTATTGTTTCTGTTTTATTGTTTTTCTCTTTCTGCAGGTGAGAAGGAGACGTATAAAATGTTGCCCACTATCCTCTCTATTATTCTGTCTCTCCCCTACTCTTATCTCTTCTCTCCCTTTGAACCTCACTCCTTTCTTTCTTTAACTCGTTAAATACATTTTAAAGAAACCTGATTAAGTTGAGCATCATAGCAAAAGCCAAAACGCTCGAATAGTAAAAATAAATCTGTTGGGTCTCACTTTGATTCTGACAGATTTCTCAGTACCAACCCCCACAGAAGAAAACAATGTGCATTATCTACGTCAGAAAAATGATAGGCTCTGCATAACTTACTCCAGGATGTGGACTTTGTGCAGATGTGCGCTGAGTTGCAGCAGCAGCTGGTCTGTCAGCTGGCAGTGACTGAGGTCCAGCTCTCTTACGTCTTCACAGTAGTCCAGCAGCAGAGCCACAGCTCCACAGAGCCTCTGATCCAGTGGACAGTGACTCAGGTCCACTTCTCCTCCCAGGGCTCTGCACAGGGACGCCGCCCGTCTCGCCGTGTCCCTCTGATTGTTCACGGCCAGCAGAGACAGAAGCTGGACCAGGACCGTCTTATTGACTCTAAACAGGAACAGCAGAGCAAACCACATCGACGTCAACGTCTACAAACTTCTCACTGCTTCGGCTTCCTCGGCTCTATCGCCCACCTGAGTCGGACTCTGTCCAGGACAGGAAACAGCAGGTCCAGCCCGCTGTCCTCCACCTCACAGTCTCTCAGGTCCAGCTGTGTGTCCCCGCCGCTGCTGAGACTCAGGACGGTGGAGACGGCCCTGCAGTCGGCGGCCGTCAACCTCAGAGGCTCCGTCTGATCCTCCTCCTCTGGTAGCTCCACGCAGGAGGAGCAGGAAAGATCCAACCTGTGCTTTAGAGTCCTCAGCAGACCTGATGCTGCCCCCTGCAGGCTGTCAGAGGCAGCGCAGCAGTGGAGGAACCTCAGCAGGACATTCCTGTCCACACTGGTGGAAACACAGAACAAAGAAAACCAGCCAGGTGATGAACAGGAGGGAATGTTTCATCGTAGGAAGGAGGCCTGAGGAGCAGGATCTGATATCTGACCTGAGATCAGAAACTGTGTGCAGCATATAAAGGATGGACTGGATTCCCTCTGCTGGGATGGAGCTCCACACCAGCTTCAGTCTCAGTTTCCTGTCGCTGTATCTGAGGATGAACAGCAGAGCATCACAGTCCCTTGAGTCCAGCTCAGTGCAGTTCAGGTTGATCACATGATCCAGTGACCTCAGCAACCAGGGTATCGTGTTACTGGGGTGAGTCCTGAAGATCTCCCTGATGGACGTCCTGACAAAACTCGGACTGGGCCTGGAAGCAGAGAGAGGATTCACCACAACGCCGTTAGTTCCAGGAACCACAAGCTGCTGATGGAATATCAGAGCAACTATTGATTAGAAAACTAAACCTCCACCTTAGAATCAGCAGCCTGTGCAGGAAGAGCAGCAGCTGAGCAGCTCTCTCCTCTAAGAATTGGTTCTTCCTCAGGTTCACGGTGATGATCTGGGCTGTCGGCTGCTGCAGCAGGAAGTGAAGAAGCTCCCAGCTCAACCGGCAGGAGCTCAGGTCTCCGCCGACCTTGTTCAAGAGGGACAACGTCAGGTTCTGGTCCTGGACCTCGTGGAGGACACCCAGAAGCTGCTGGAGTTTCTCTTCCCTCAGTCTGCAGAGATCACAGGTTCAACTCTGACTGTGGTTCTGATCCGTTTACTTTCTGACAGACATGATGAAGACGTTCACCTGAGTCTGAGAGGAGCATCGTGAAGCAGCAGGCTGAACAGGCTCTGAGCGGGGAGTCCGGACTCGGTCAGGTCAACCGGTAACCGTCCCAAGACCGCAGCAGAGACGCCAAACTGCTGCCCACCTTCAACAAGACTCTCTGTGGCTGAGCTTTGGTGGAAACCACAGAAAGCTCTTCCAGGACCAGAGGAGAGGTCACTCTGCCTCTTCTCACCCACTGAGACAGGAACAGGACCAGACTGTTGGAGAGTCTGGATCAGAGACAAGATCAGAGACGACGGACATCAAGAACTGATGGTTCAACAGCAGATAAGTGATGAGAAAGAGACTTTGTTCTTCAATTTCCTGCCTCAGACTGTTGTGTGGTAGATCTAAAGAGGAGAGCAGCTCCTCTGGCGGACATCCGGCTGTCTGTGAGGATCAGATCCACTTTAGATGCACAGAGAGGGAGAACTTTTCCCACAGAGCTGCAGGTTTTCCTGGGTAAAACTCCAGTTAGCTGCAGATTGAAGGTCAGAAGATGCAGGAGAGAAACCAGCTGCTGAATCTCCTCTCTGGATCTCACAGATAGAGACGAACAAACACTCTGGAAAAACCCTGGAGGAACGCTGGAAGAGAGAAGTAAGAAAACATCAATTCAGAAATACAAACAGCTAAAAATTCTATGAGAGCATCCGACTGTACCTGAGATGAGAGATAAAAGGCAGACACTGCAGGAAACTCCTCACTTCACTCTCTCCATGTGAGCAGTCTGTCAGCTCCACTGGTTTCTTCTCTGGTTGGAGTTTCATCACTTCCAGGAGGATGGAGGTCTTTCTCTCTGAGAGCTTTATGGTCCACAATAAAGGAGCTGATTGGAAAACTGACTGTAATGATGGAAGGAGACTCAGACCTGATTTAGTCTCTCTGTCCTTCAGCTGGGAGTACAGATCCAGCAGGAAGTCACTTCTATATTCACTTATATATTCATAATCAGCGTCTATGTCATCAAAAGGGAATGTTTGATATCTACAGACTGATGTTAACATGTCCAGCATCTTCTCTCCTGTCTGCTGTTCTCTCTCTGCTGCTGCACTGAACAGATTCACTAAGAACCTGGTTTGTTCATGAAGATCTGAGATCTGAGATCAAACCTGGAACAACAAGAAGGAAACATTTAGTGATGATTTGATCTGAGCTGAATCAATACAACCACACACTGATGGACTCCATCTTGTCTCTCCTCTATGTGATGAAATCACATCTTCTACATGTCTGATCAGAGCAGCTGTTACTGACTCTCAACTCAAACTCTGATCCTGTGCTTCACATCTCTCAGTTATCATCCTCTCTGGGATTTTAGGATTTTCAATTAAAACATCCAAACTAAAACCAAACATGAGAGAATCGACCAAAACTTCTCTTCATCTCATGAACAACAGCAGCTAAAGCTTCACCTTGATCCTCATTTCACATATAAATCTCAGTTCTGCTGCTCAACATCTGCAGCTGGAGACACAAAGTGATGAAGACTCCTTGGTGTGTCTCATCCTAATGTGTTGTTCTCTATGAAGCTGCTAGGATCTTCATCACTCTCAGTAAAGTTCACTGCAGTCACAAGTTCAAATGCAGCTCAATGTTACATCGTCTGTTTTCCTCATGTTGAGTTTAAAAGCTGTTCAGTGAAACTGAAATATATTCTTCTTCCAGCCAGCATGCAAGCAAGCTTGCGAGGGAGGAGTTAGAGAGGATGGACTGGAGGATGAACCTCAAAACATTGAACCTTCATTCAGACTGGAGTCGGTTCTGTTGAAGCAGGAAGAAAATGAATAACCTGAAGCTGAACTAACAACATCTAGAAACTCATAAACATGAGATCACATCCTGGTGGTTTACTGGGAAATAAAACGAAAGTGCAGTGAACTGAACTCCTGTCAGAAACTTGAAACTCAAAGATAATCAGAAAATAAAACTGTCAAATTAATATATTTATGTCAAGAGATTAGATTTTCCTCTGAACTATGAAGGAGATTCAAACTCTGTGTGACAATATGGAAAACATTAGTCATATTGGACAGCCAAATTAGAGCTGTGGTTAAGTCCAGTTTTTATCATTTAAGGCAATTGGCAACAGTAAAATCTTTTCTTTCCAGGCAGCATTTTGAAACAGTGATCCACGCTTTTATTTCGACTCGACTGGATTACTTTGACTCTCTATATCTGGGAGTCAGTCAGTCACTGCTTTCACGTCTGCAACTGGTTCAGAATGCGGCTGCACGACTTTTGACAGGAACTGGAAAGAGAGAGCATGTAACCCCTGTCTTGGCATCACTTCACTGGCTGCCTGTTTATTTTAGGATCCATTTTAAAATTCTCTTGTGTTTTAAATCACTGCATGATCTTGCCCCGGCTTACCTTTCGGAGCTTCTTCACCCTTACATACCTTATCGGTCTCTTAGATCTGCAGATCAGTTGCTCTTGGAGGAACCGAGATCTAGAAGGAAGCTCAGAGGGGACAGAGCTTTGTCTGTCGGGGTCCTAAGCTATGGATGACCTGCCTTTGTAAGTCAGAGAGGCCCTTTCACTGTCCACTTTCAAAGCTTGTCTTAAAACCCATTTATTTCACTTGTCTTTCAATTCCAGCGAGATCTAGTTTTATATTGTAAGTTTGTTGTTTTAAACTGTATTTGTTTTTATCTATTTTATGTACAGCACTTTGTTTCAGCTGTGGTTGTTTTAAAGTGCTTTATAAATAAAGTTGGTATGGTATGGTATGGTATCAGATAACTAAGAAGAGATAAGTGTTCATTTTATTGTTGCTACGAAATGAAAATAAATCCAAAGTTTTAAACATTTAGACTTGTTTTTTATGCCAGTAATATGTAATATAATGACTGTACCTGAGCTGAGAGATAAAAGGCAGACACTGCAGGAAACTCCTCACTTCACTCTCTCCATGTGAGCAGTCTGTCAGCTCCACTGGTTTCTTCTCTGGTTGGAGTTTCATCACTTCCAGGAGGATGGAGGTCTTTCTCTCTGAGAGCTTTATGGTCCAGACTTCAGGAGCTGATTGGAAAACTGACTGTAATGATGGAAGGAGACTCAGACCTGATTTAGTCTCTCTGTCCTTCATCTGGGAGTACAGATCCAGCAGGAAGTCACTTCTATATTCACTTATATATTCATAATCAGCGTCTATGTCATCAAAAGGGAATGTTTGATATCTACAGACTGATGTTAACGTTTCCAGCATCTTCTCTCCTGTCTGCTGTTCTCTCTCTGCTGCTGCACAGAACAGATTCACTAAGAACCTGGTTTGTTCATCAGGATCTGAGCTCCAAGGATCAAACCTGGAACAACAAGAAGGAAACATTTAGTGATGATTTGATCTGAGCTGAATCAATACAACCACACTGCTGATGGACTCCATCTTGTCTCTCCTCTATGTGATGAATCACATCTTCTACATGTCTGATCAGAGCAGCTGTTACTGACTCTCAACTCAAACTCTGATCCTGTGCTTCACATCTCTCAGTTATCATCCTCTCTGGGATTTTAGGATTTTCAACTAAAAACATTCAAAATAAAACCAAACATGAGAGAATCGACCAAAACTTCTCTTCATCTCATGAACAACAGCAGCTAAAGCTTCACCTTGATCCTCATTTCACATATAAATCTCAGTTCTGCTGCTCAAACATCTGCAGCTGGAGACACAAAGTGATGAAGACTCCTTGGTGTCTCATCCTAATGTGTTGTTCTCTATGAAGCTGCTAGGATCTTCATCACTCTCAGTAAAGTTCACTGCAGTCACAAGTTCAAATGCAGCTCAATGTTACATCGTCTGTTTTCCTCATGTTGAGTTTAAAAGCTGTTCAGTGAAACTGAAATATATTCTTCTTCCAGCCAGCATGCAAGCAAGCTTGCGAGGGAGGAGTTAGAGAGGATGGACTGGAAGAGGAACCTGAAAACACTCAACCTTCATTCAGACTGGAGTCGGTTCTGCTAAAGCAGGAAGAAAATGAATAACCTGAAGCTGAACTAACATCATCTAGAAACTCATAAACATGAGATCACATCCTGGTGGTTTACTGGGAAATAAAACGAAAGTGCAGTGAACAGAACTCCTGGACAGAAAGACGAAACTCAAAGATAATCAGTGAATAAAACTGTCAAATTAATATATTTATGTCAAGAGATTAGATTTTCCTCTGAACTATGAAGGAGATTCAAACTCTGTGTGACAATATGGAAAACATTAGTCATATCAGATAACTAAGAAGAGATAAGTGTTCATTTTATTGTTGCTACGAAATGAAAATAAATCCAAAGTTTTAAACATTTAGACTTGTTTTTTATGCCAGTAATATGAACATAATGTCTGTACCTGAGCTGAGAGATAAAAGGCAGACACTGCAGGAAACTCCTCACTTCTCTCTCCATGTGAGCAGTCTGTCAGCTTCACTGGTTTCTTCTCTGGTTGGAGTTTCAGCACTTCCAGGAGGATGGAGGTCTTTCTCTCTGAGAGCTTTATGGTCCAGACTTCAGGAGCTGATTGGAAAACTGACTGTAATGGAAGGAGACTCAGACCTGATTTAGTCTCTCTGTCCTTCAGCTGGGAGTACAGATCTAGCAGGAAGTCACTTCTATATTCACTTATATATTCATAATCAGCGTCTATGTCATCAAAAGGGAATGTTTGATATCTACAGACTGATGTTAACGTTTCCAATCATCTCTCTCCTGTTGCTTCTCTCTCTCTGCTCTTCATTAAGAACTCATCACGATATGAGCTCTTGATGTTCAAAACCTGGAACAACAAGAAGGAAACATTTAGTGATGATTTGATCTCAGCTGCATCAATACAACCACACACTGCTGATGGACTCCATCTTGTCTCTCCTCTATGTGATGAAATCACATCTTCTACATGTTTGATTATAATTATCTGATCTTCCAGACTCAACCGTCTAAACTAAAAGTGTGGAGCTGCTCATGTGAACACAATCAGTTTTTACAATCACACCAACAACCAGATGAAACGTCTGAAACTAAATGTTCAAACTCAGATTAAGACAGAAAAATATAATCCAGAGAGCAGCAAGTAGGATTAAAATGGTCACTTGGTTCATTAACAGACTTAGAAACAACTTACAGAGATAATAACACATCCAGGTTTATATATGTATACAGAAAGGTCACTGAGAAAACTTAGTGTGACTGTTGAACTTTGACCTTTCATCATAGTCAACATTCTAAACCTCGGCTGGAATAAAATGACCTGTTTGGATTCTGATTCAGAGAAAATCTCCAGTAGGATGATGATAATCTGAGCAACCAAAGGTTTTCAGTTTCTCTCTGTGAATTGATCTCCTGATCAGAATCCAATCAGCCTGTAGTCATGGCGATGGAGCATCTGGATCCAGGATCCGGTTCTGTTCAGAGTTAAAAGCGTCGGGTCACATGAAGCCCGACTTCCATGCTTGTGTCTTCTCCTGAAAGTCACCTGGCCAACAAACGATGCCTCGCGTCACATTGGACACGCCACTGCTTCAAAGTCGCTTTTCAAAATAAAAGCATCACCAGCCGTACTGCTTTCTGGGTCGTTGGAGGTACTTTGGTACCGACCTTTGAGAAGAGTATTTTTCATCAGCAGATGCTGACATGGAACCGACAAAACAGAACAAATCTCCCCAAACTGGGAGAACTCTGAAATGATGCCAACCATCACTGCACTTCTAAGATACTAAAACTATTATCTTTATAGTCAACTCAGTGCAGAAGATCAAAGAAAACACAAGCTCAGCTCACAGCCGACTGCAGGATGATTCAGCTCAGTTAAATTGGGTTCAATATGTCAGATAGATGAAAACGTTATTGTGAGATACTCACAGTATAACCAACTATGTAATAATATGTGTAGTGGCGATTGTTTGTCAAACCAAACATCCAATAAAAAGTTCCATCAGCCACTATGAGGCACTGGGGTCCAGATTCTTAACACAGGCAAAAGAATCCCAAGGTCCAAACTTGTTGATTTTTGTTGCTTTTATTTTCCTTTTATGCAAGCAATTACAATTATCAAACTTTTCTTTGTTCTCTGGCACTGCTCTCTCTCTCTGATCTCTTGCACTGATCTCTTGCACTGGTAAAAACCATAGGCCCAAACCCAAATGCCTGTTGGTCCTTTACCAGGCCCCTACATTTATAGAAGGTGGACTGACCCGCCTCACTTCCTGTCTAGCTTACAAATGATAAAAAATAGGAAAAAATAAGAAAACAAAACAAAATATAAAATCAATTATTAACCTGCAAATAAACTCTGTAAATAATGCAAAAAATAGAAGTTTAAGAATAAACTAACAAAATTCAAATAGATAAAGAAATAAAAATAAATAGCTCCAACAATATGTTTGGAAATATGATTTGAGTGAGAAGATCGTCACAGTTACAGTGAAACAGCAGATGTCACTAGTGAGAAATGAATGAAACAACAACAAACAGCTCAGTATCCTAAGAGTTTTCTCCTGAAATGGATCCATTCATAATGAAACTGGATTAAAACTCCAAGTGAATAAAGTCTCAATGTGTGAATATAACAGGGAATAGATATAATAGCATAAAAACATCCCCATGTTGAGGATGATTTTTAAATATTGAAGATATTTTGTGACAACTAAAAGGTTATTGAAGAAGTAAATCAGTAATATGAACATAATGTCTGTACCTGAGATGAGAGATAAAAGGCAGACACTGCAGGAAACTCCTCACTTCACTCTCTCCATGTGAGCAGTCTGTCAGCTTCACTGGTTTCTTCTTGGTTGGAGTTTCAGCACTTCCAGGAGGATGGAGGTCTTTCTCTCTGAGAGCTTTATGATCCAGACTTCAGGAGCTGATTGGAAAACTGACTGTAATGATGGAAGGAGACTCAGACCTGATTTAGTCTCTCTGTCCTTCAGCTGGGAGTACAGATCCAGCAGGAAGTCACTCTGAGATTTTGCACTAGAATATGAAGGGAATGTTTCATATCTACAGACTGATGTTAACATGTCCAGTATCTTCTCTCCTGTCTGCTGTTCTCTCTCTGCTGCTGCACAGAACAGATTCACTAAGAACCTGGTTTGGTCATCAGGATCTGAGCTCCAAAGATTAAACCTGGAACAACAAGAAGGAAACATTTAGTGATGATTTGATCTGAGCTGCATCAATACAACCACACACTGCTGATGGACTCCATCTTGTCTCTCCTCTATGTGATGAAATTACATCTTCAACATGCTCAAACATCTAAACTAAAAGTGTGGAGCTGCTCATGTGAACACAATCAAGTTTTACAATCAGATATAACTTAGTTCATCCCCCCTTCATGAAGCGACACACCAAGAGGTCCTGCCCCACAGGTTTGCAACCAAATCCCACATGATAAACTGGGATTTTCATGAGAAAAACCTTGTCTGTTGAAAACACTTTGCCCTTTTCAAACCAGCTCTGCAAAAGCCTAACAATCTCCACCACCAAAAAGCATTGGCCCGTCTTTCCTCACATCATTCCTCTACAACTCGCCATGTGCCACTGTGAACTGAGCGAGTTGATGAAGCTCCTGCGTCCTGGATGAAGTGAATCACTTCTGCATGGAGGCCTGTTGCAGATTTGATCTTCTGGCTCTTTGGGCCTCATAAATCATCAAACCCCCTCAGAAATCACCAGCTGCTTCATTGTAGCTGTTTACTTATTGGTCTATGTGCATGATGGCTCACATCAATGAGCAATTATTCTTCTTTTATTGTCACATTAGGAGAAATTAGTACTTTATGCATTTCCTTTTACTTTGCGTCAGCTTGAATCCAAATAAATTTAAACAAACACTGCTTATTAGTTTCCTATGTGTCATCAGATCAAGAGAGAAACATTTCAGTTCTAAACATTTGTTTCTTGTTTTGATACATGAGCTGTTAGGAGCTGCTTAATCTGGATTAATATAAATGAAATGTTTTCAGGACAATGTTGGAGATCCTCTCTTGTTTTTCACATACTGCTGAAAAACAGCAGTATGTGACTTAATAAGCTAGTTTCCACACTAACCAAGGACACTTGGTCTTCTGGGGTTTTCTGAAGAACTTTCTTCCACAGACAAACGATAAAACATTCAACTATTTTTACTCTTCCTGTTCTTCTGAACCATGAACATTCCAGGTCCATGTTGACCCAACTTGTTCTATAAGACCCAGAAGGAACAAGCTGGAATTGATGAACGTTCCTACGAATAGTTCTCATGATTCATTTTAACAAAAGTCATCGCTCTGAGGCCGTAAATTATTCTTTGATAAACTGCATTTTTTCAGGTTTCTACAATAAACTGTATCTCTGTTTAACAAAGCGACTATAGATTTATAATTACTTCATGATGATAATCCAGAAACTGAACTCATCTGAAACAAACCTGAAACACAATGACAACAATGATTTTTCCTGAAATGTCACCAATTAGGAAGTAACCGGAAGATGAATCCATGTTCATAAAGTCTAAATGTGTTCATAAAATATTTAGTAAATATCAAAGTATGATATACACAAAATAACCCTGTTGATGATATTTATGAATATTCAAGACTTTTGATACGAACTCAAATGTTCTTCAATATTTACATCTAGAAAATGAAATATAATGTCTGTACCTGAGCTGTGAGATAAAAGGCAGACACTGCAGGAAACTCCTCACTTCACTCTCTCCATGTGAGCAGTCTGTCAGCTCCACTGGTTTCTTCTCTGGTTGGAGTTTCATCACTTCCAGGAGGATGGAGGTCTTTCTCTCTGAGAGGTCTATGATCCAGACTTTAGGAGCTGATTGGAAAACTGACTGTAATGATGGAAGGAGACTCAGACCTGATTTAGTCTCCCTGTCCTTCAGCTGGGAGTACAGATCCAGCAGGAAGTCAACCTGATCTTTACCACCGTAACATAAGGGGAATGTTTTATATCTGCAGACTGATGTTAACGTGTCCAGCATCTTCTCTCCTGTCTGCTGTTCTCTCTCTGCTGCTGCACAGAACAGATTCACTAAGAACCTGGTTTGTTCATCACGATATGAGCTCTGAAGATCAAACCTGGAACAACAAGAAGGAAACATTTAGTGATGATTTGATCTCAGCTGCATCAATACAACCACACACTGCTGATGGACTCCATCTTGTCTCTCCTCTATGTGATGAAATCACATCTTCTACATGTTTGATTATAATTATCTGATCTTCCAGACTCAACCGTCTAAACTAAAAGTGTGGAGCTGCTCATGTGAACACAATCAGTTTTTACAATCACACCAACAACCAGATGAAACGTCTGAAACTAAATGTTCAAACTCAGATTAAGACAGAAAAATATAATCCACAGAGCAGCAAGACAGATTAAAATGTTCACTTGGTTCATTAACAGACTTACAAACAACTTACAGAGATAATAACACATCCAGGTTTATATATGTATATATGAAAGGTCACTGAGAAAACTAAGAATGACTGTTGAACTTTGACCTTTCATCATAGTCAACATTCTAAACCTCGGCTGGAATAAAATGACCTGTTTGGATTCTGACTCAGAGAAAATCTCCAGTAGGATGATGATAATCTGAGCAACCAAAGGTTTTCAGTTTCTCTCTGTGAATTGATCTCCTGATCAGAATCCAATCAGCCTGTAGTCATGGCGATGGAGCATCTGGATCCAGGATCCGGTTCTGTTCAGAGTTAAAAGCGTCGGGTCACATGAAGCCCGACTTCCATGCTTGTGTCTTCTCCTGAAAGTCACCTGGCCAACAAACGATGCCTCGCGTCACATTGGACACGCCACTGCTTCAAAGTCGCTTTTCAAAATAAAAGCCTCATCTGATCTCTGGGTCGTTGGAGGTTCTTTGGTACCGACCTTTGAGAAGAGTATTTTTCATCAGCAGATGCTGACATGGAACCGACAAAACAGAACAAATCTCCCCAAACTGGGAGAACTCTGAAATGATGCCAACCATCACTGCACTTCTAAGATACTAAAACTATTATCTTTATAGTCAACTCAGTGCAGAAGATCAAAGAAAACACAAGCTCAGCTCACAGCCGACTGCAGGATGATTCAGCTCAGTTAAATTGGGTGCAAAGGACCAAATGTCAGATAGATGAAAACGTTATTGTGAGATACTCACAATATAACCAACTATGTAATAATATGTTTGGAAATAGGATTTGAGTGAGAAGATTGTCACAGTTACAGTGAAACAGCAGATGTCACTAGTGAGAAATGAATGAAACAACAACAAACAGCTGAGTATCCTAAGAGTTTTCTCCACAAATGGATCCATTCATAATGAAACTGGATTAAAACTCCAAGTGAATAAAGTCTCAATGTGTGAATATAACAGGGAATAGATATAATAGCATAAAAACATCCCCATGTTGAGGATGATTTTTAAATATTGAAGATATTTAGTGAAAACTAAAAGGTTATTGAATAAGTAAATCAGTAATATGAACATAATGTCTGTACCTGAGCTGAGAGATAAAAGGCAGACACTGCAGGAAACTCCTCACTTCACTCTCTCCATGTGAGCAGTCTGTCAGCTCCACTGGTTTCTTCTCTGGTTGGAGTTTCAGCACTTCCAGGAGGATGGAGGTCTTTCTCTCTGAGAGCTTTATGATCCAGACTTCAGGAGCTGATTGGAAAACTGACTGTAATGATGGAAGGAGACTCAGACCTGATTTAGTCTCTCTGTCCTTCAGCTGGGAGTACAGATCCAACAGGAAGCCTCTCTGAGATTTAGTACTATAATATGAAGGGAATGTTTGATATCTACAGACTGATGTTAACGTTTCCAGCATCTTCTCTCCTGTCTGCTGTTCTCTCTCTGCTGCTGCACAGAACAGATTCACTAAGAACCTGGTTTGTTCATCACGATATGAGCTCTGATGATCAAACCTGGAACAACAAGAAGGAAACATTTAGTGATGATTTGATCTGAGCTGCATCAATACAACCACACACTGCTGATGGACTCCATCTTGTCTCTCCTCTATGTGATGAAATCACATCTTCTACATGTTTGATTATAATTATCTGATCTTCCAGACTCAACCGTCTAAACTAAAAGTGTGGAGCTGCTCATGTGAACACAATCAGTTTTTACAATCAGACCAACAACCAGATGAAACGTCTGAAACTAAATGTTCAAACTCAGATTAAGACAGAAAAATATAATCCAGAGAGCAGCAAGTAGGATTAACATGTTCACTTGGTTTTATTAACAGACCTACAAACAACTTACAGAGATAATGACACATTCAGGTTTATATATGTATACAGAAAGGTCACTGAGAAAACTAAGAATGACTGTTGAACTTTGACCTTTCATCATAGTCAACATTCTAAACCTCGGCTGGAATAAAATGACCTGTTTGGATTCTGATTCAGAGAAAATCTCCAGTAGGATGATGATAATCTGAGCAACCAAAGGTTTTCAGTTTCTCTCTGTGAATTGATCTCCTGATCAGAATCCAATCAGCCTGTAGTCATGGCGATGGAGCATCTGGATCCAGGATCCGGTTCTGTTCAGAGTTAAAAGCGTCGGGTCACATGAAGCCCGACTTCCATGCTTGTGTCTTCTCCTGAAAGTCACCTGGCCAACAAACGATGCCTCGCGTCACATTGGACACGCCACTGCTTCAAAGTCGCTTTTCAAAATAAAAGCATCACCAGCCGTACTGCTTTCTGGGTCGTTGGAGGTACTTTGGTACCGACCTTTGAGAAGAGTATTTTTCATCAGCAGATGCTGACATGGAACCGACAAAACAGAACAAATCTCCCCAAACTGGGAGAACTCTGAAATGATGCCAACCATCACTGCACTTCTAAGATACTAAAACTATTATCTTTATAGTCAACTCAGTGCAGAAGATCAAAGAAAACACAAGCTCAGCTCACAGCCGACTGCAGGATGATTCAGCTCAGTTAAATTGGGTTCAATGGACCAAATGTCAGATAGATGAAAACGTTATTGTTAGATACTGCAGGCCCAACTACAGTCATATGAAAAAGTTTGGGCACCCCTATTAATCTAAATTATTTTCATCTCTAAATATTTGGATGTTTGCAATAACTATTTCAGTTTGATATAACCAATGACTTATAGACACAGTAAAATTTGAATATTGAAATGAGGTTTATTGGACTACAAGAAAATGTGCAGTACACATAAACACAAAATTTGACAGGTGCACCTCAACAGAAAAGCGACATTAATATTTAGTAGATCCTCCTTTTGCAACAATAACAGCCTCTAGTCGCTTCCGGTAGCTTCTAATGAGTTCCTGGATCCTGGATGAAGGGATTTTTGACCATTCTTCTTTGCAAAACAATTCCAGTTCAGTTAAGTTTCATGGTCACCGAGCATGGACAGCCCGCTTCAAATCATCCCACAGATGTTCAATAATATTCAGGTCTGGGGATTGGGATGGCCATTCCAGAACATTGTAATTGTTTTTCTGCATGAATGCCTGAGTAGATTTGGAGCGGTGTTTTGGATCATTGTCTTGCTGAAATATCCATCCCCGGCGTAGCTTCAACTTCATAACTGATTCTTGAACATTACTCTCAAGAATCTGTTGATATTGAGTGGAATCCATGCGACCCTCAATTTTAACAATATTCCCAGTACCAGCATTGGCCACACAGCCCCAAAGCATGATGGAACCTCCACCAAATTTCACAGTGGGTAGCAAGTGTTTTTCCTGGAACGCTGTGTTTTTTTGCCGCCATGCATAACGCCTTTTTTTATGACCAAACAACTTAATCTTTGTTTCATCAGTCCACAGGACCTTATTCCAAAATGAAGCTGGCTTGTCCAAATGTGCTTTTGCAGAGCTCAAGCGACTCCATTTGTGGCGTGCTTGCAGAAAAGGCTTCCGTCGCATCACTCTCCCATACAACTTCTCTTTGTGCAAAGTGCGCTGAATTGTTGAACGATACACAGTGACACCATCTGCAGCAAGATGATGCTGCAGGTCTTTGGAGGTGGTCTGTGGGTTGTCCTCCACAGTTCTCACCATTCTTCTTCTCTGCCTCTCTGATATTTTTCTTGGCCTGCCACAGAATGGGTTTAACATGTACTGTCCCTGTGGTCTTCCATTTCCTCACAGTGGAAACTGACAGTTTAAATCTCTGAGATAACTTTTTGTATCTTTCCCCTAAACAACTTTGTTGAACAATCTTTGTTTTTAGATCATTTGAGAGTTGTTTTGATGTGCCCATGATGCCACTCTTCATAGGAGATCCAGACTGGAGAACAACTTGCAATCGGCCACCTTAAATACCTTTTCTCATGATTGGATACACCTGGCTATGAAGTTCAAAGCTTAATGAGGTTGCCAAACCAATTTTGTGTTTCAGTAAGTCAGTGAAAAGTAGTTAGGAGTATTCAAATCAATTAAATGATAAGGGTACTCAAAATTTTGCACCTGTCACATTTTGTTTTTATGCATATTGCCCATTTTCTATTAGTACAATAAACCTCATTTCAGTACTGAAATATAACTGTGTACATCAGTTATTAGATATATCAAACTGAGATAGCTGTTGCAAACACCCAAATATTTAGAAATAAAAATAATAAAGATTAATGAGGGTGCCCAAACTTTTTCATATGACTGTATGTAATAATATGTTTTGAAGAATGATTTGAGTGAGAAGATCCTCACAGCAGAAGTCACTCGTGAGAAATGAATGAAACAACAACAACAAACAGCTGAGTATCCTAAGAGTTTTCTACAACAATGGATCCATTTATAATGAAACTGGATTAAAACTCCAAGTGAATAAAGTCTAAATGTGTGAATATAACAGGGAAAATATATAATAGCATAAAAACATCCCCATGTTGATGATGATTTTTCAATTTTCAAGATATTTAGTGAAAACTAAAAGGTTATTGAATAAGTAAATCAGTAAAATGAAATATAATGTCTGTACCAGAGCTGAGAGATAAAAGGCAGACACTGCAGGAAACTCCTCACTTCACTCTCTCCATGTGAGCAGTCTGTCAGCTCCACTGGTTTCTTCTCTGGTTGGAGTTTCATCACTTCCAGGAGGATGGAGGTCTTTCTCTCTGAGAGCTTTATGGTCCACAATAAAGGAGCTGATTGGAAAACTGACTTTAATGATGGAAGGAGACTCAGACCTGATTTAGTCTCTCTGTCCTTCATCTGGGAGTACAGATCCAGCAGGAAGTCAAGGCGACATTTTAAACTGTCATCATCATCATCATCATCATAACCTGTTAATTCATCTTCACAGATGTTAACATGTCCAGCATCTTCTCTCCTGTCTGCTGTTCTCTCTCTGCTGCTGCACAGAACAGATTCACTAAGAACCTGGTTTGTTCATCAGGATCTGAGCTCCAAAGATCAAACCTGGAACAACAAGAAGGAAACATTTAGTGATGATTTGATCTGAGCTGCATCAATACAACCACACACTGCTGATGGACTCCATCTTGTCTCTCCTCTATGTGATGAAATCACATCTTCTACATGTTTGATCAGAGCAGCTGTTACTGACTCTCAACTCAAACTCTGATCCTGTGCTTCACATCTCTCAGTTATCATCCTCTCTGGGATTTCAGGATTTTCAACTAAAACATTCAAAATAAAACCAAACATGAGAGAATCGACCAAAACTTCTCTTCATCTCATGAACAACAGCAGCTAAAGCTTCACCTTGATCCTCATTTCACATATAAATCTCAGTTCTGCTGCTCAACATCTGCAGCTGGAGACACAAAGTGATGAAGACTCCTTGGTGTGTCTCATCCTAATGTGTTGTTCTCTATGAAGCTGCTAGGATCTTCATCACTCTCAGTAAAGTTCACTGCAGTCACAAGTTCAAATGCAGCTCAATGTTACATCGTCTGTTTTCCTCATGTTGAGTTTAAAAGCTGTTCAGTGAAACTGAAATATATTCTTCTTCCAGCCAGCATGCAAGCAAGCTTGCGAGGGAGGAGTTAGAGAGGATGGACTGGAAGAGGAACCTGAAAACACTCAACCTTCATTCAGACTGGAGTCGGTTCTGCTAAAGCAGGAAGAAAATGAATAACCTGAAGCTGAACTAACAACATCTAGAAACTCATAAACATGAGATCACATCCTGGTGGTTTACTGGGAAATAAAACGAAAGTGCAGTGAACAGAACTCCTGGACAGAAAGACGAAACTCAAAGATAATCAGTGAATAAAACTATCAAACAAATATATTGATGTCAACAGATTACATTTTCCTCTAAACTATGAAGGAGATTTAAAGAATGTGTGAAAATGTAGAGAAAATTCATATCAAACATGGAAGAATCATGGCTGCTAAATTTTTTGTTGCTAAAATTAAAAGTTTTACAGATTAACAGTACTATATTATTTATTTTCTATGATAGTAAAAAAGTGACTGTACCAGAGCTGAGAGATAAAAGGCAGACACTGCAGGAAACTCCTCACTTCACTCTCTCCATGTGAGCAGTCTGTCAGCATCACTGCTACCTTCTCTGGTTGGAGTTTCAGCACTTCCAGGAGGATGGAGGTCTTTCTCTCTGAGAGCTTTATGATCCAGACTTCAGGAGCTGATTGGAAAACTGACTGTAATGATGGAAGGAGACTCAGACCTGATTTAGTCTCTCTGTCCTTCAGCTGAGAGTACAGATCCAGCAGGAAGTCAAGGCGACATTTTAAACTGTCATCATCATCATCATCATAACCTGTTAATTCATCTCCACAGACTGATGTTAACGTTTCCAGCATCTTCTCTCCTGTCTGCTGTTCTCTCTCTGCTGCTGCACTGAACAGATTCACTAAGAACCTGGTTTGTTCATCAGGATCTGAGCTCCAAAGATCAAACCTGGAACAACAAGAAGGAAACATTTAGTGATGATTTGATCTCAGCTGCATCAATACAACCACACACTGCTGATGGACTCCATCTTGTCTCTCCTCTATGTGATGAAATCACATCTTCTACATGTTTGATTATAATTATCTGATCTTCCAGACTCAACCGTCTAAACTAAAAGTGTGGAGCTGCTCATGTGAACACAATCAGTTTTTACAATCAGACCAACAACCAGATGAAACGTCTGAAACTAAATGTTCAAACTCAGATTAAGACAGAAAAATATAATCCACAGAGCAGCAAGACAGATTAAAATGTTCACTTGGTTCATTAACAGACTTACAAACAACTTACAGAGATAATAACACATCCAGGTTTATATATGTATATATGAAAGGTCACTGAGAAAACTAAGAATGACTGTTGAACTTTGACCTTTCATCATGGTCAACATTCTAAACCTCGGCTGGAATAAAATGACCTGTTTGGATTCTGACTCAGAGAAAATCTCCAGTAGGATGATGATAATCTGAGCAACCAAAGGTTTTCAGTTTCTCTCTGTGAATTGATCTCCTGATCAGAATCCAATCAGCCTGTAGTCATGGCGATGGAGCATCTGGATCCAGGATCCGGTTCTGTTCAGAGTTAAAAGCGTCGGGTCACATGAAGCCCGACTTCCATGCTTGTGTCTTCTCCTGAAAGTCACCTGGCCAACAAACGATGCCTCGCGTCACATTGGACACGCCACTGCTTCAAAGTCGCTTTTCAAAATAAAAGCCTCATCTGATCTCTGGGTCGTTGGAGGTTCTTTGGTACCGACCTTTGAGAAGAGTATTTTTCATCAGCAGATGCTGACATGGAACCGACAAAACAGAACAAATCTCCCAAACTGGGAGAACTCTGAAATGATGCCAACCATCACTGCACTTCTAAGATACTAAAACTTGTCATGACTTCAGCGTTTCTGCTCCACCTTCTGCGCTGATTGCTCATCACTCTTACCTGCACTGTGCTGCTCCCTATTTATACAGCTGATTTTCTCCGGCTCAGTGCGAGATCGTCTGTTGCCCTTGTCACAGCTTTCAAGCCATTGTTTCATGTCCCAAGGAGTTTTCTGGTTTACTGATCCTGCCTGTTTTTTGACCTTAGATTCTGCCTTGTCCTTCGGCTACTGAAAGTACTCTGATCTCCTGTTAAAGAACCCTGCCTGTCGCCGACCCTGCCTCCTGCTTGCTGTTTGCTGGATTATCTGTGCCTGTTGCTCTCCTGTGCATGACCCTGGATCGTCTCTCTACTCCGTCTCTGGTTTGTGGACTTTGCCCCTGTGGTCTGTTTGTTCTCTGAGCCCCCAAGACTGTCTGTTGTCCTGTCATCCTACTTCGTCCCACCCCCGGCTGGATCCCTGTCCCCTGGGGACCCCTCCTCCCTTATCTGCTCATTTTTTCCCACCCCGTTCAGTCCCATCGAAATTATTATTTTTTGTCATTAAAACTTCTGATTTAACTTTCTCCTGTGTTGGCTGTGTTTTGGGTTCTGGCTTAGTTTGCTTACCATTACAAAAACTATTAACTATATAGTCAACTCAGTGCAGAAGATCAAAGAAAACACAAGCTGGGCTCACAGCCGACTGCAGGATGATTCAGCTCAGTTAAATTGGGTTCAATATGTCAGATAGATGAAAACGTTATTGTGAGATACTCACAGTATAACCAACTATGTAATAATATGTTTGGAAATATGATTTGTGAAGTAGATTTTTCTTTCCAGAGAAAATCTTTTATTTGCATCATACAGTAGCATAGTCAGTATGTTTTTTTCGTGCAGCTGCAGAAGGTGTACAAACTAAATGAACAAGATGTGTCTGTTGAAGTTCCCCAGACGGGTTATTTGGGAACTTGCTGTTTTTCCCTGCATGGAGATGGAGTGTTTAGTTTTCACATCCAGTAGACATGATAGTGAATGAGTGTGTCAGGTTGAACTGTTCCATCTGTTTGCCTTTGTTTCTTTTGTTTGGTCTTCAAAGATTGAGTCCCCGCCTCTGTTAGCAGAGAAAGGTGAATAAAGCAACTCTAAAACTCTGAGTTTGTTAGAGCAGAATGATTTTCGCCTAATGTATTTTTGCTCTCCATCTGCAGATGTATTAAAGATCTTTTTGCTCCCTGACATTTGTCTGGACCTCAGTCTTGGAATTTTGTACTTCACAGATTTGAGTGAGAAGATCCTCACAGCAGATGTCACTCGTGAGAAATGAATGAAACAACAACAACAAACAGCTGAGTATCCTAAGAGTTTTCTACAACAATGGATCCATTTATAATGAAACTGGATTAAAACTCCAAGTGAATAAAGTCTAAATGTGTGAATATAACATGGAATATATATAACAGCATAAAAACATCCCCATGTTGAGGATGATTTTTAAATATTGAAGATATTTAGTGAAAACTAAAAGGTTATTGAATAAGTAAATCAGTAATATGAACATAATGTCTGTACCTGAGCTGAGAGATAAAAGGCAGACACTGCAGGAAACTCCTCACTTCACTCTCTCCATGTGAGCAGTCTGTCAGCTCCACTGGTTTCTTCTCTGGTTGGAGTTTCAGCACTTCCAGGAGGATGGAGGTCTTTCTCTCTGAGAGCTTTATGATCCAGACTTCAGGAGCTGATTGGAAAACTGACTGTAATGATGGAAGGAGACTCAGACCTGATTTAGTCTCTCTGTCCTTCAGCTGGGAGTACAGATCCAGCAGGAAGTCACTCTGAGATTTATTATTATAACCGAAAATAGTTTGATATCTACAGACTGATGTTAACGTGTCCAGCATCTTCTCTCCTGTCTGCTGTTCTCTCTCTGCTGCTGCACAGAACAGATTCACTAAGAACCTGGTTTGTTCATCACGATATGAGCTCTGACGATCAAACCTGGAACAACAAGAAGGAAACATTTAGTGATGATTTGATCTCAGCTACATATATTTTCTGACCTTTTTATGTTCCTGACTCTCATGTTGCCAACTTCCTACCCCAACAGATGATTACAAAAGAGAATGAATTCTCAACAGACATCTAGAAAACATGCAGCATTTGGTTGCAAACACTAAAGGACCTAAGCTTTGTCAATAATAACGGTTTCCCTTTGTTGTCTTGTTGATGAATTGATTGTTGCATCTGCAGTTCAGTCTGTTGTGAACATCAAGATATTTATTTTCCCCAATCATCTCCAGTAATTTTGCCATGGAAATTGGGGTTGTCTTGCTCCTGTTTCTTTTTGATTGTACTATCTTATTTGTCTTTCTATTTAGATGGATGTTTCCCGTTGTGATTGTTTGAGCTCAATCAATTTTTTCATGTGTACTTTAATTACAAATTGCATAACTTAGACATAAAATTATTGGCCTTCTGACTAATTGAGTAAAGTAAGGCCCAATGTCAAAAGGCTTCCCTTAATGTTATCTGCTTTTCTCTTGAAGCATTGGCTGCAGTTTGTTTTTCTTCATACCAGCAGTACAACTATAATTACATAGAACTGTATATGCACTGATTTTTACATCTGTATTAAAATGTCTGTTTCTGATCATTATTAGCATTATTTAATTATTATAATAATAACTGAACAATAGGTTCACGTTCATGTTTTTATTTATTGTACCACACTTTATTCTGGTAACATGGTCAGAGAGCTGGCCAAAGAAACAGACTTTTCCTTTGCTCGTTCCACAAAGCTGTTTGCAATATTTTGCTGCTCTGCATATTTTGCTGCTCTGCATTTGGTCTTCCTGTTCTTCCACACTCTCAGACCCGACCCTGAACTCACCTGATTGGTCCGCTGTTCAAGCTGCTTCCTTTTCTGTTTGCAAAGATGGCAGTTTCCCTCTACACCGTGAAACAGCAACAACTACCAGCTTTGTTCTTTGTAATTTCTGTACAGTAAAACTATTAATCTATAAATCAATGTAAAGGTCTATTAAAAAATATCATCCATATTTCTATATTGTATGGCATTAAAAGGATCTGGAACTTTTGTTTTTCCACTGAAATGTTATGGACGATACTCTGATGTCCACCTGCCCCTGACTTCCCATAGGATCCATCACTCTGCGTTTCTGAGGTCTGAGGCCGGGGACCAGATATTATCTTTACACCTGTCTCCATCCAGAATGTGTCTGGCCCCCGGGTTCTGCAGAACAGGACATTACCTGTCCGGATCACTACAAGAGAATTTACAAAAACCAGAAATATGAAATACAGCGGTCCTAATTCAAACCTCAGACTGATCCCCTGCCTAAAGGAACCTCAGACTGAAAATCTTTTGGCCTCCAAGCCACTTAAAGTAGCTCTTTTAAATATCAGATCACTCTGTGCTAAAGCTTCATTAATTGATGATTTCATCACTGAGTATAATGTTGATGTTATGTTTCTGACAGAAACATGGTTGAATGACGATAATGACCAAATTGATAATGACTAATTGAATCAGTGCCTCTTGACTACAATTTTTTAAGTGAGAATAGAAAACATAAAAAAGGAGGAGGCGTGGCTTCTATATTTAAGAAAACCATTAATTGTAGTAAAATCTCTTTGGGTCATTTCACATCTTTTGAGTATCTTGGAATTCAAGTTAAAGGCTACAAACGAACTTTGACACTAACTTTATACAAAACACCAGCATATGTGAAAAATTTCTTTACTGACTTGAATGATCTTCTTTCTCTCATATGCATTGATTATGATTGTTTAATAATTGTTGGTGATTTCAACATTCATGTGGACAAACCCCAAGACAGAGGAGCAAAAAAGCTCTCTGATATTTTAGAAAATTTTGGTTTAACACAACATGTTAAACAGGCAACACACACTCAAGGACACACACTGGACCTGGTTATCAGTAAGTGTGTGAATATTGTCTCTGTAATTGATGTCGCCCTGTCGGATCACTTCGCTGTTATCTTTGAAGGTTCTTTATTCTTTGACCCACTTGGACAAACAGCTACTGTCACAAAACGTTCTTTCACAGAAAACACAGCAGAAACATTTAATCAAACTATTCTTCCTCCTCACCCTTAAGCTGTAATGATGTAGATCAGTTGTTAGATGATTTTCAGTCTATAGTTTCATATATCATTGATTCTATTGCTCCAATTAAAGTAAAGGTTGTGTCTGGTAGGAAGAAATCTCCATGGAGAAAAGCACAAACAGTTCGTTCTGCAAGACAACTCTGTCTCAGAGCAGAACAAATGTGGCGTAAAACTCAACTTCACGTTCATCACGACATCTACAAAGAAAAACTACGTAACTATCACTTAACACTAAAACATGCAAGGGAGGCTTTCTTTGCAGATGTCATAAACAAAAACATGAACAATGCTCGAACTTTATTTGCAACAGTTGACAGGCTCACAAACCCTCCTGTGACGTTACCACCTGAACTCCAATCTAATGCTGCCTGCAACAAGTTTTCCAGCTTCTTTTCAGAGAAAATTCAAAAAATCAGAGGATTAATCTGCACATCAACTCTAAAGCCAGAACCATTGCTGTACCAAAACAAAACAAATACAGGAAAAATGACCCATTTTCAACTAGTTAATTATAAAACCCTAGAAGAAATTAGTTCAAGCTCCTGCTGTCTGGATGTCCTTCCCACACATTTCTTTAAGAAAGTCCTGCCTGTTATTGCTACTGATCTGATCCAAATTGTAAACTCATCACTTACATCAGGAGTTTTCCCCCAGGCCTTAAAAACAGCAGTTATTAAACCACTGTTAAAAAAGAAAAACCTGGACAAATCACTACTGCAGAATTACAAACCAACCTCTGACCTTTGACCTCCCATTTATCAGCAAAGTTATTGAAAAAACAGTGTGTAAACAATTACATAGTTTCCTCATGATGACCAACTGCTTTGACTCCTTCCAGTCTGGTTTTCAGGCTCACCACAGCACGGAGACTGGCCTAGTCCAAGTATTCAATGATATCCATATAAATATGGACTGTGGGAGAACCACGGTGCTGGTTCTGTTGGACCTCAGTGTTGACCGTGACATATTACTGAATCGACTGGAGAGTTGGGTTGGACTCTCTGGTTCGGTGCTCGACTGGTTTGAATCTTACATAAAGAGCAGGGATTTCTTTGTTTCAATTGGAAACGTCTCATCAAAGAGGTCAAAGGTCACATGTGGGGTACCCCAAGGTTCAATCCTAGGACCCCTCTTATTTAATATTTATATTCTCCCACTAGCTGAGGTTATAACAGGAAATAATATTAATTACCACAACTATGCGGATGACACACAGCTCTACATTATGATGTCACCAGGTGACCTTTGACCCTATTCAATCACTGAATAAATGTTTAGAAAAGATAAATGTGTGGATGTGCCAAAACTTTCTCCAGCTAAACAGAAACAAAACTGAAGTCATTATTTTTGGACCTAAAGAGGAACGATCTAAAGTCAATGCACAGCTAGGCCTATCACGATAACAGATTTTGCTGGGCGATAAATTGTCTCAAAAAATTATTGCGATAAGCGATAATATTGTTTGAAGACCTTTTCACATTGATTTAATGGAAATTATGTAATAATACATGCGATTTCCTGCCAAAGATAGATACACTTTACTTTCAAAAGAACACTTAACACTGGGACTGATACACAAAATAAATAAAACAACCAAAAATAAAATAGATTCTTAGTCTCCATTACCAATAAATGCACTTGCTACCGGCGTTGAGCCCTGGCTTCCGCTCAGCCGTGCTGCCTGGCCGCGGACTCTGTTGACTGTGTTTTTGTGGACTTGTTTTCATTAAATATTCACTACTCACTTTACCTGGGTCTCCAGCGTGCTGCCTCACCACCGCCACCACACCACTTTATGACAGCCAATGCTTCAACATGATCTACAAGGAACCTGAATAATACATCGAGAGGTGCTGGGCCAATAAAGGTTGATGAACTCTGCTCTAGATCATGATGCAGCATCAACTACAGCCACCTTCCTGCAAGCATTGCATCCCATACAGGAACTACTAAAATTAAATCCAGAGGTTGTCTAATGCCATGTTGTATGGGAGCTTTTGTCTGCCTTGAGAAGATAAGAAAAGAATTAGAGACCAGTTTCATGTGCAAACCAAACACATGATGGTGTTTTAACCCCATCAAAGCAATAAAAGGCCTGGTTTATCAGTTAAAACATGAGCTGCTGAAGAACCAAAACGCCATCAACTTTGTCCCCACCCATTTACAATGGTCAGTTAGTTATCCTCCCAGGTTTACCTCCCTCTCTCTGAATGTATTCATTGACTCTTGAGTCAATGGGTTACTGGTCAGGTGTTGTTACCACTAACGATCCAAACGAATCCCTAAAAATGTTACCTCCCCCCCCTTTATTTTACATGAAAATAATTTACCTTTCCCAGAGCAGCTGACCTCAGGTTACGCCTTGCTAACACCCATAGTGCAGCCCTGACGCTCCATTTCACAGAGTCTCACACCCTGAGACATGTAAACAAAGCAGCGCACATCTTGGTGTCATTGAGGACTTGTTAGGATCATCAGAGTCAACAGAACTAACAGGGAATTGAATAGAGGTTTTAGAGCCAGATCCATGGAACCTTGATCGTCTCAATAGTGATTATAATGGCTTTGTTAGTGACCTATATTGCTTTATCAGAGTGAATGTTTGTGATGATACTATATTACCCTGATATTTTCAAAACAACTGTCAGAACTGAAGACGTCCATAAGATAAGAGGTGAAATGTCTTCAAGATAACAGAAAAAGTACATTTCTCCTCATTTAAAATACCAAACATCTGCTTGGACAGAATACTAAAGAAATACTGTTTCTTACCTGAGATGATGTGTGTATGGCAGCACCTGTAGCAGGGATTCACATAGACTCTGGCAGACATGACCTCTTTGGGTCCAATGGAGGCAGACATTGACCTTTGTAGCTGACCTCTGCATGACCTTCACAGCTCTTTCAAACAGCAGCTTTTCACCTACAACTGGAAGATACAGCTGGTTTCCACAGCGATGCAATAATGTCATATATTCTGTCAGCCCTTCACTGAGAAAGACAACAGTCCACAACTGCAGAGGGAGAGGATCAACCCTGTAATTTAAAAAAAATAAGTCACTATACAAAGAAGTAATAGAACATAAGCAGTTACAAAACTTATCTTGAATAAATTTTGTCACAGTGTATGTCCTTATCAAAGCAATGAATATGAAACAAAACATGTTGAGTCATACCACTGAACATTTTCAATGCATCCAAACAGATGTCTCATTCCTTGCTCAGACACCGTCACATCCTGAAGGTTCAGACTTATTTTCCTCTCCTTTGACTGAGTGACCATAAAGGCCACAGCACAGCAGGAATAAGGGTCCAGATTCTCTCCACTGAGGTCAAGATGGAAGTCCAGGTTCTCCAGAAAGGAAATACAGTTTTCAGAGCTCTGTGACTCATATAAACATTGGCATAAGAATAATATATCTACATAACGTTCAGTGTCTTCATTTTTGGAGAAAAATATGTCAATCATTTCTTTGAAGAACCATCCAGATGTTTCCTTGATCTCCTCAGCTGGAATCAGACAGCTCATCAAACATGGACTCTTCTCATTCAACAAACGGCACATGAACGGGATCAGATGCTTCATGTGTTTCTTCTCCTCAGTGAGGCATTGCTGCAAAACTTCGCTGATCTTATCAGGATTCTTCAGAAGCCACAGAGCTGCAAAAAACTCCTGCATGGTGTAATGGAGGAAAGCATTGAGAGTTATGGTTTCAGTAGGAGGAACTTTGCCATGGAGTGTTTTCAGGAAGGAAAGGACGCAGGTGTCTTCACAGGAAAGTTCTCCCAGGTTCACAGTTTTTCTTTCGGTTGCATTAAAAGCAGCTTCAGCCAGAGACAGGATTCCATTTCTCTTGGTTTTGATGAACTGACTGAGATTCCTGATCCTGGTTTTGTTGCTGTTCATCTGAAGGCCAAATCTAACAATATTGATGTATATTTCAGTCACAGTTCTGGGCTGCAGAGAGTCTGTAGATGAAAAGCTGGCAGCCACCATCAGTGCATACATTGGAACATGACAAAGGGTCAACAGCTCCAGGTTACTCAGGACCTTCCTGTGATTTTCACCCAGAGTTGAAGACAAATATGTCTTGATTGTTTCCTCACAGAAGCCTTTCACCTCCACTCTGAGCCAGTCTTCAGGAGATAAGTTTTCCTCATCTTCTGGTCTGCAGGTAATGATGATTTTAGCATCAGGTAAGAAATCTTTGTCTACAAGTTTCTCCACAACCGATGGAGAGAGATCAGTGACTCCATCCAAAATGACTGTAACATTATCAGAGTTGCTCTTTATATCTTGCAAAACTTCATCTTTGCCCTCATCTGGTTCACTGCATGCAGTGAAAAGAAGATCCTCCAAACTCCTGATTGGTGGGATGTTGGTTAATTTCCTCATGTCAAAGTAAAACATGTAATCCAGCTCCTTATTGTCTCTTTCTGACCACAGTCTCAATATTTCATGACTCAGCGCTGACTTTCCAATTCCAGGTTTCCCAACCAGGAGGATGTTTTTATCTGTTTTCAGCAGGTCACTGGGGGAGATTTCTGGTTTATTCCCTGGAATATAAGTCCTTAACTTTTTAGGACGGGACTTCTTGCTTTTATTGTTTTTGATTTTCTTTATCTTGGATGGAGAAATCTTTCCTTGGATATCAAATACAACTGCACTGTGAAACAGATCAGGCTTCTTGTCTTCTGCAAAAAGATCTTTACTTGCCCTCCAGAAGTTCTCTGATAATTTTTTTGCTTTTGATTTTAACTTCTTCTGATATTTGCAGCATGGCCTTGGACCTGAGATAAAAATAACAACTGGTTAATCAATTAAACAAATTTGGGAATTATTCAGTAGTATTATTCTCTTGTAAGACACACATTAGATATACCAGTAAACAGATAAAAACATCACAACATTAATGCATGACTTGATAAAAACCACTAATATACTGGATGTTTTTCCTGCATTCCTTGAAGTGTTTTCTATAAATTACCTTATACATTCTGGCAGTTGCCGTTTTAGTGACCAAAAATACTAACTGATGTATCACTGCAGTGACTAATCGATTGACTAACAATCAAGTGATCAAAAGGTTAGTAATTTGAAATTTGGAAAATTAAATAAAACATTACTTTCTAATAACTTTTTTACTAGCTGATGGTAGCTGATCATATTTTCTGTTATAACCTGAGCTTGTGGAAGCATATAGATATTGAATAGGAGGGGTCTGGAGTACCCTGCACGCAACTTCTGTCTGATTTCATGCAAAGTTTTCTATTGTAGAAGTTAAGGACTAATTCTGCATCATTCAACATTTTTGAATACTAACGAATACCAAGGAGCCTAACCTACTTGTAAAAACCTAGTTTGTCAAGACCTCAGGTTGAGGAAGTGAACCATTTTGAGTAAAAGAGTAATTTTTGGATTTTTTTCACTTCTACAAAATTCTTCTGGGAATTTTGGTCAAAGTGCCCTTAAGGGATGGAGGATTAAACGTTATCAAAATATTAAGGGTCTGTGAATTTTAAAGGGCAGTACTTTCTTCCCCAAAATTTTAACTGGTATAACTTTCAACGGCTGAATTACATACTTGTAGTGAATGATCCTTTTGATGTTCCCAACAACGTTATGGAGCGAGACCCTCTTGACGTTATCAACATGATCTTGTATCAGAAGACAGATAAGTTGCTCTCACACGCTTCCAAGCACAGAGATTTTTCACCTAAGCCTGTGTATTGGAAATCAGTTCCAATACATTTGGCTCTAAACGCCGACTTAAAAAAATAAAAATACTGAATACCTTTTTACTCCCAGCTTCATACATCAATTGCATTTTTACGTTTTCTGACATGTGTATTTGTAGTTTAACTTTCTACTTATTTGTAGTTTAAATTACCTCGTATGTAGTTTTGCTGTATTTCTGCATCTTCTTTGAAAGGAAAGCAGCTGATCCAGTGGTGCAGGTCAAACTCTGTACCCTCAGTTGAAGCTTCATGACTGCTCTTGGAAAGAGGAGTTTGCCTCTCTAAGGTTCTCCTCCTTGTCTGATCAATAATCCTTAGAAACACGTAGCAGGCTGCGTCACCTTTTCTAGTGACTGAGTCCAGTATCGCTCTGGTTCTATCATAATCATCTCTCTCTGCATTTATCTTGCTGACCTCTTCATCAATAAGAACTTTTTGTTGATACAAGTTCTCAAGAATCACTGACAGATTCCTCAGTTCTCCAACAAGGTGAGGTCTGGCATTCTCAACATATTTCAAGGCTGACTGGGATGTGCAAGCCATAACTTCAGACGTTTGTTTTCAGACACACCCAACTTCACTGATCTGAAAAAATAAAAAAACAGTTTAAAGAGGATTTTAGCTAAGGCAGCACACATGAACACAAACAGCACATTCATTATGTTTAGAGTCCCCATAAACTAGTCTGCTCCTTTAATAGTTACTGAAACAACAAAGTGAATATTTCTTGTAGTTCATCCCACAAGTAAACATTTCTAATTCAGCGATATGTATGTTATTATATATTTTTATTTTTTTAAGTATCTAGTGATGTAAACTTGTAACATTACCCAAATACTCTAATATCAGCTTCAATACATTAATTATAATTCAGTGTCTTACAAACACCACAGACTTAACACATATTTCACATAAATATATTAAAGCATGTAAATACACATAGAATTCAGAAACACAATAGTCACCAAAAATATTTACATTTAAAGATACAAAGTCTGAATATTTCCAAAAGATAATTTTGAACATGTCCATGTATGAGTGTATATGTATGGTTGTTGATATAGTGTAAGAACGCAAGTTTTAAGTCAGAATATCCATTACATCTGATATAGCCGAATCAAAATTCAATCACATGTAAAAACGTCCTCAGTCATTTTGAAACATATTTTAAAAGACAAATAACTCTCCAGCGTTGATTTTCCTTTAATATTTTCCAACAAGAGAATCCAAACCAACCTAAACATAAAACACACAGGGTTGGAATGGCAGTGAAACGAGCTGTGACGTGTGAAAACACGATTCATTTCACTGGTTTCAGGTGAATTTCACCTGAAGAAAGGAAAAGAAATTCCAAATAAACATTTGCTTCTCATCGCAGGCTGCCATTGTTTAGTCAAATAAGCAGAACCACTCACATACAGATATTTCCAGAAAAGCAAATGTTACTCTCACTGGCCTTTAACTTCCGGGTGACGTAAAGAACCGTCACAAGTTACAATAGTTTATTTCTAAGGAGGGAGTCTAAACACTGAACACATGCGCAAACTGAAATCCATTAAAAACAGCTTCAAATCTTACCTTCATGTCATTTGCGATCACGAAAAGATTCATTGTTCCGCATTTCCGCATAACCTGTCGACAGGTGTTATCCCGAGAAACGCACGTCATAACGCCTGTCGGCATAACACGGTGTACCTTCAGGAGTGTTTTTTTAGTTTGGAACAAAAACTATTGATTTTAGTGTTTTTCGTGTAATGAACCATAATTAAAAACTGGATAACAAACCAAACAGTTGACGGATTTCCAACTAAAAGAAAGTGAAAGTGGTTAACTAAGATCCTCCTCCTCCTGGGAGGATCAGGAAGTAAGAAAAGTTAAGAACTGCATTTCACTAAATGAAGCTTAATGGTAAAAAGAATCAAGATAAAAGATCTGTTAATGCTAATGGATAAAATAACCTAATTAATATTATCTTTTGATCTATCAAATCTGAGCAAGGGGAAAACTTAACGAGTCAGTCTAATAAACCTACTCAAAGTCATAGAATCAAGCTGACATATAATCTGTCATGCTGATGGATAATATTCAGAGTAAAACACATAGTTTTAGTAAGAACTATGTCCTGCTAGTGAGGGTAATGACTAATCAATCCGGCCTCTTGATTGGTCGGAATCAAAGCGGCTCCTAATAACATGGTGGAACTAGTGACTGATAAAAGATAAGTTTAAACATGTTCAAGTTGGAGAGAAACTGAACCTGTACCCCTCCAATCAGCCATTGATTCTTTTTGGACTCATTGATTGATCAATCGGAGCAGACTCTGGTGTTTTATAATTTCTTTAATGAGACTTTCATCTGTCATTAACAAGATGGTTGCATATAGACAGGACTTTGCAGCACACAGGGCTTGATGTGGTTGCTGACTGATGTTGTTTTCTTCTCACTTTGGGTCTATCTGCTGCTGCAGGCGGCCAGAGCTTTTCCCAGTGTTTCGATGAAGCGATGCACGTCCCTGAAGGAGTTATAGAGCGGCACCGGAGCCACTCGCAGCACGCTGGGCTCCCTCATGTCACACTGCAACAGGAAAAACGCCACTCAGAAAAATAGATTTAGCTCCAGATTTTAATAAATAACACGAATTTATCTTTCATCTGTTCACAGTAAACAGGATTTTAATTTACCAAAATATAAATACATAAAGGTTTCTGTAACTTTTCTAATGAAATAGGCATGTTCAAAACAATAATTGATCAAAAACAATTATGTAAAGAGTGACATGTCAAAAATACTGATTAATTATGCTGACTTTCACATATTAATTACTTAAAATGTCTGAGAAATCTAATGAACTAATGTTGCCTATCTCTTAAATTTATATCTAACTCACTAGAACTGTGAAGGTACGATGCATGTTATGGCCAATGTAGGTAGAAAAAAAGGAGTAAATTTATGCCAATAAATTTCAGAAATTTTCTATAGAAATTCAAGGCAATTTCCAATGAAAAAAATGTATTCAACCTCTTTAAAAATATATATATAGTAATTTTTGGAGTTTGAAAAGTCAAAACATTTGCAGAGAAAAAGCTCTAATTTTCAGATTAATGTGAAAAACTTTGTAGAAAACCTTACTTTTAACCTTTTTGGTGAACAATGGCCCTAATATACTGATGTAAGAGAAGCAATAGTTCATAAGATTGTTCTCATACAAACACATAAACAATACAGTAAAACTACTCCTATAAGTATCTTCCTCTCCCCCCTCCAGCCAAAAACAAAAATTGTTATTCTAGTAAAGGTAACGAGTACGACCCAACTGTGAACATGGACGACACAATTACCATCTATTCTTGTTAACGAGCTAAACATGATCTATTGGCATGGGCTAATTAATCAATCATTTAGTTAACATCCAGCTGCATAACTCAACTTACTCTGGTCATAAACTGCAAAGTTCTGTCCCTACTGCTGATCTGCTGCCATGTTTCTAACACGCCGGCGTGTCGCTCTGCACGGCGCAGCTTGTCTCCGTCGCTGACCGCTGGTGTAAAGCTGGCAGGAGAATCTTAGCGCTCATGTTGTGTTTAAAGGCAGCTCGGAAAAACACGTTACGACACGTTAGCGACGGATTAAACAGTTGTAACAGCTGGAAAAAGAGCAGGACCCCCTACTGTATGAAACAGAGATAGGAATAATAGAAAGATGCCCACTCTGAGGTGAAAACAAACAAATAGCATCCAGGCGAGGTGCTTACAGCGACTCCTCTCTTCTCCAGCTCCTGGAAGACTCTCCGGATCGGGATGGAGAAGGAGAGCGACAGCTGGCAGCCTCTCTGCTGGGGGTCAGAGGGCGTGAGGATTCGGATGTAGGCTTTGTGAGGCTGGGCCGGGTCCTCTGCGTAGTACTCCTTTATCAGGTACTCCAGGTACCCGGTCAGGAGCACAGACTTCCTCCGCAGCGACTGCATGCTCGCCATGTTAAACACCTGGAACATTTTATAGCCGACTTTAAAAACAACTACTTTTTCACTCAAAACATGAATCTATGAAATACGTCTTGTAAAGTTCAATACTTCTAAGCTGGCCTGCAGAGGGCAGACGAGAAGAATGGGCTGATTTGAGAGTCTGAAGCCGCTCACTCCAGGCTGCAGCTCCATCACTGAAAACAGTAGAAACATACATGTAACACAATACTGATGGAAGAGGATTAGGGCCACTGAAAAAGAATAAGTATTCTGAGTTTAACCTCAGAATTCAGAGATTAAACTCAGAAACCTGAAGAAGTCGAATCAGAGTGAAAATTTTGAGTTTAAAGTCAGGATAGTTTTTTTCCAGTGGCCCTAATTATCTTCAGTACAACTATTTTACAGCCTGAATAGCAAATTTTATTGAAGGAAATGAGATTTTCCTCCCACATTCATCAACACAGCTCATGTGATACCAAAAATGGCCACAAGATGGTAGCAAAAAAACACATTTTATATAAACTTGTCATTACATAAAGTGGAAGGTTTACCGTTGGTCATCCTAAAGCGAGTTGCCAGGTCGTGACCCCACCATCCTAACAGCCTGAAGGACACACAAATTAAACAATTAAAGAGACAGGCCTCCTTTATTCTAATTGGCCTGTATTTGCAGCTTAAAATTAGTTTGTACTTTAAACTTTGGTTGTTTAAAAGTAAGATCCAATTCTGCTATAAATTAAAAACAATTCTGTTTTAAAACAGTTGTGTTACTCACGCCGGCTTGATGGTGTCTTTATGTTTTTCGTGAATGAACGCCCCGGCGAGGCCGCCGGCACCTGAGTTCAGATACTGGAGAGCAATAACACAATCATCATCAACAGTTTCCTTCCTTAGATTTCTGTCTGATTCAGGTTCTCCTCAGCAGACCTTATAGGAGCACCAGCAGGCAAAGTCAACATCCCAGTCATGCAGCTTCAGATCTGTGTTTCCCACTGCATGGGCGCAGTCAAATCCAACAAAACAGCCCTGATGATGCACAAAAACATACCAGTCAGTTAGCTTTTCATGTAACACCTCTAATATCCGCATGAAACTGTTTTTATAGTCTCCCTGAGGAGTTTCCTGCTACCTTCTTGTGGCCAGCCTTCGTGATGGCGTGCATGTCAAACAGCTGACCGGTGTAGTACTGAACCCCGGGCAACATCACCATGGCGATGGCGTCGCCTTCTTTCTCGATGACGTCCAGGATGTCCTCAGTTCTCAGAGTGTCTTCACCCTAAAGAGAGAGAAGAAGATGATATTTATGGGAACTGATGACTGAATGGATCAGATTCGGGTGTTGTGGACGCACTGGTCTGGGCGACAGCATCAGCATGCTGCTCTCGGGTGAAAATCCTCGCAGGCGGATCTGAGACTCGACAGCATACTGACAACAGAAGAAAAGATTCACAGTGAAGAGTCTGAAAGTCCAGCTTAAAAACAATTATTCAAAAAATAACCAAGAGAAATACTCAGAAAGTCAGGCCACAAACATCCAACATCTTTGTCTTCAAACATACTTGGGCACACACATCCATTATATTCAACTAAATACAGCAATGTTTTTTTAAAAAAAAATCTCATTTTTGTTGCTGGAAATTAACTAAAACATTTTATAGACCAACAAACAAGAAAACAATTTGCAAATAAAGTTAAATACCTATAAATATTAACTTAGAATATCAAACTAATACCACTTGTTTCATTTATTGTTGGCCAGGCAAAGTACAAACAATTCACAATTAAATGAGTTTTGTGTCTTTGATCGGAGAGAAAATCTCATTTTGGCCACTGAAGATTTTCAACTTGGGCACTTTGGACACCACTGTGTCACCTGCTGTCATCTGCTCATTACTGTAGTTTGTTTTGGGATTTTTATTGTATTTTGTGTAAGGAAGCCGAAGCAAACAAAGGAGGGTTACAGACATACTCACATGATCCGAAGGGAAGGCTTTGCTCTCCAGAAGGATTTTGTATCGCGTTGGAGTGGGTTTGTAGAAGGACAGCTGCAGAGTGACACCATCAGATGACTCAATGTTTCCACTTTACTTTAGAGACATTTCTGCAAGGCGTTACCATGAGGAGATGCAGATTAACCGTCAGGCCGTTCATCAGCGCTACCTCCCCACTTTTCGCTCCTGGAATGAAACAAAATGTTCTTATTAGTTCAAGTTGGTAAGCTTAGATAACCAAGCTGCTGTCAATACATTCAATGTTGTACAGAAAAATTAATGTGGAGTTCCTGAAGGGTTTGGGTAAATCTGCTGGTTTAAACTGATTTGGTCAGCCAGTGAGTTCAGGGTCTGTCTGGTCACTGACCTTCACACCAGAGGCACAGATGTAACTAAACAAACTTACCTGATGTTTTGCAGCTTAATGTGCAGAAGATACAACTTTAGATGGCTTTGAAGTCAGTGCTATTCTTTGGAAGTTATCAAGAATTCATTGTTGTCTGAAATTTGGCCAAGATGTTTGTATAACTATAGAAACACATCCTTACTTTCAGACCAAACCTAAACATGTCTTTAAGAACTTTGGAAAAAGGAACGTTAAAAAGAAAAAATATACTTTGGAATGATTGAGAAAGGGGAATGTTTTTACAAGATTTTCTTCTTCCTGCTCCTTTTTCACTCGTGTTAAGTTGTTGTTGTAAGAGTTTGTGTTTGTTAAATTGAATTACTGACCTTATTGATTGAGTTTGTTTCTTCTTCCATTGAACTTTCTGAACCAAACCCACAACTAAATATTTTTACCAGACTTCCTGACATTCTTAGATCTTCCTCACTAACCTTCTTCAAATCTCACAAAACTTGTGTCAAATGTTTTTACTGCGCAACTTTTCTCTCATGCTGCTAATAAGTTTCCAGAAGTCACCATCAATATTTTTAATGCAAAAGCAAAACTAAACATTTTGCTACATGTACCAGCATAAATGTAGCCGAATTTGCTAGATTTTGTCAGAGTGACCTCTGATGACTTGCATGACCTTTTGACCTGCAAACTTTCAGTCAGATTTTCATAGCAAAAGGTAACCAGCACAAATGTAGCCGAGTTCATAAACATGAAATGGTTTACCTTCCATGACCTCTGGTAACATTCATAAATACATTTAAAATCTTTGTTGCACAAACTTCTGACATCAATTTTATTCTACTTGAAAGTCACCAACCAAAATTTCAATATATATTTCCAACGTCATTCAACTAAAACTTCACAAAATAGTTGTGTAAATTGGCACCTCAAAATTTAACCGAATAAGTGTCATAAATACTGCAAAAGTTAGTCAAAATGCCAAACTAACATTTAGCTCTGCTATTAGCAGATGTAGTGTTCCAGTCATTGAGGGTAGGAATCTTATAAGCTGGTGTATTTTTGTTTTATCTGTAAACTTTGTAAGCACATTTTAAGTTAAAGGACAGTAAAGTAATGGAAATGCAAAGGTTGTATTATGTAACGCTTTTCTTTTCCTCCCAATAATATTTCTTTCTTTTTTATAGAAGGTTGTCACTTTAAATTGTTGTTCTGTATTTACATCTTCATTTCTTCCTAATTTGTTTCAGTGCATTTCGAGGGTTTCTTGCTCATTTCTCTCAACTCACCAACAATATTCGCCATGAGGTTTTCAATGTTGTTTTCCGCCCAGGCCCAAGGCCTCGAGCCCACAGTGTGACCATGAATCGCTCTGTTTAAAGGACAGCAAGAGGATGTGAATTAAATACTTTAGTAAAAAAGTTAATAATAAAACAAACTAACATCTTAGCCCAGTTGTCTAGCTCCTCCTCCAGATATTTCCGTGCATTTTTGGGTTGCAGGCCCAACGAGTTTCCACACAGGTAGATGCATTCTTGGCTCCCGTCCACCAGAGAAAGATCAGCTGCAGAGAGTCAAACTGAATCATCACCACAGTCCAGCTTCAGGCCAGCAGATCTCGACTGCAATATTTTCTACTCACTGGGAGGCAAATCTGCGATTCTGGGCACCAGGAAGTTTTCTCTGAGGTGCCGCAGTTTGTCGTGTTTGTCAAAATAATCGGCTACTTTCTCTGAGGTTGGACTGCAGCCCAGCAAGGCGGACACTCGTGTCACCGCCGCTGTGGGACTTAGGTCAAAAAGGTCGTCCATTGGTGAGGAAGCAGAAAACTCTAAGAGGTGAACCAAGAGAAGCAGTGGGTCATGTGACCTGATGCATTAAAGGATTTCAACATCACTGCAAACACAATAAAATCTTAGTGACTAATTGTGGTAACATTAAGTTTTTATTATTTCCATAAATGCTGCAACACAAATAAAGCTTTCTGTCTTCACTCTTTAAAGTGAAAGTTGCAACTCACTGCGGTTTGGTGGGTTACAGATGAGTTTGCTTTCTGCTGGCAGGACAGAGGCTGACTGAACCCTCGGAGACGCTCTTTAACCTCTCTGTGCTCACTCTCAGGTTAATCATTGCATCAATGCACTGACCTCCAGCTCCAGATAACAGCTAACCACCTCAACAAAACACCTGGATCACATACACTTATGAAAAAAGCTGCTTCCTCTCTCATGTGGTTTCAGTTTTGAGTGTGAAATTTGAAGACAACAGGGTGAACTTCCTCATAAAGAGCCAATCATCGCAGCTGCCGTTGCAAAAACAGCCAGTAGTTCCACCGGATCTCAGCCAGACAGCAAGGATTTGTTCCCATTTACAAACTGGGAAAGCTAGTCTTTGTGGAGCTTAAGGCACAAAGGGAGAGACACAAACTGCATTCATGAGGCTTGACGCAATATTTTCATCCAGTTTTCTTTTTTATCTGGTAGGATTCATTTAATAAACTCAGTATTCATCAATCTTTAAACGTGCAATTAATAAAGACCAGTAAAATTCACTTGGAAGAAAGGTTTACCTGTTCTCCACCAGAGGGCAGAAGAGGATATTTAAATTGTCTTCACTGATACTTTAAAGGGGTAATTTTATGTTTTAACACAAATAAATAAGTATATAACCTTCAGTTGTTATAAACATTAATATCAAAGCATCAGCTTCCTAAAATAATATCCAACATCATATTTTGGGAACAAAGAAACATAAATGACTAAGCAAACAGACTAACAAGGCTCTGATGTTTTGCTCAGTAACTCAGTACTTCTTTTCAATATGATTGTACTCTTAGTTAAGTTATTTTTTGGTCGGATACTTTCTACTTTTTTTTTAATCCAAATATATTAAAGTAGTACTACTCTGACTTGAATAAAATCTTTGGCTGCTCCACCCATCTCTGCACCAACCGGGTAGGTAAGAGTGTTTGTCCGATTCCTTTGCAGGAAAATCCAGAGATTTCAAAGAGGAGTTCACAGAAGTTCCCTGAAGCAGTTGGCCAGTCAACCAGCAGGGATCTTCAGTGTGTCGTCCATCGGTCTGGCTCACCATCACATCCAAACTTCAACGTCAGTTCTCGGGCTTCAAAAAATAAAACAACAAAAAACTAAACTTTAGAGTTCAAACAACAGAAATGAACTAAAATCCAGTTTTAATATCATTTATTACTGTTTTGTCAGTCTTGCTATAGCACTCAACTTTCTACAACAGAGGCTAAATATAAAATATACCTAAATTTTATGTTTGGAAATGTTTCTGTATACACTTTAGTGGACTAACAACAAAACACTAATTTAACAAGAGAAAAAAATCCCCAAATTTATATATCATTTTATGTATAAAATATAAGATGATCAATAAGTCATTGAGCTTTTAGGAATAATAAATAGTCATTAAAAATTCTAATAAATTGTAAGGTAAATTACCTTCCTGCTCAAATTAAATGCTTAAACACAATATACACAAAAAAATGAAAAGGAAATTTCTGGCACTTAAGTTTAATCTGATTTCACTTCAGAAAGTTTCAACTGTAAATAACACTTTTCAAATTTAATCACATATTAGACTACAATTATATTACAAAAGTGTGAAGTTTGAATATCAAGCAATTTTCAAGCATTTTTTTAGGGAAGTTTTTCAACTTTTCATATCTGTCCATATTTTATATAATTAGCCTTATGAACACCTTTAAACTACGTAACATCATGAATTAAATATTAAAGATTTCCCTAAACACTCCAATTGTCAGCTCGCAGGTGGTTAGTTAAAGTAGTTACCTTAGCTAACCAACCTTGTCACATATTTTTTATCATATATTCCAACTGCTAAAACGGCTAGCGCTTAGCTAGCTAAGGTAGCCTACTACTTTAGCTTAGCCGTTGGCTAGCTAAGGTTGCCAACTGACACTTTTCCACCGTCACCATTGGCTTGACTCACCAGTTTCCCGAATAAGAGAAACTTTTCAACCTCCGCAGTTCTTTAACGACGAAATAACTGTCCACAATTCATTTTTTACACACTGTCGTATTTTTCTTGTCTTGTTTTTCCGTTCATTTTGACAGCGAGCTGTCTGTCGCTGATCTCGCTCGCGGGGCTGAGACGTTGCGCGCTCTTTACGTAGGTACGCACAAGCCGAAGGTGAAGGGTGCCCCCTACTGGCGCTACCGAGAAACACAACAGTTTTCATTGTAATGTTTTTAGTGACCAAACGCTGTTAATGTGTGGGTTACATTCATTCATACACCTCTATTTCCCCTCGTGATCCCATACTAGGATTTTCCAGTAAATTTTCCTATTATACTAATTACATGCGTCCTGCTCTGACTGTAGCAGCGGACAGTTGAACCAAATGCTTTGGTCCTTTTTTGCTTCCTGTCTTGTTCTGCGTCTGGTCTCGTCTTATTTCTGTTTTTTTCTTGCAGTAGTATTGTATTTGAGTACCAGGGTTGGTTTCAAGTCTTGGTTTGGGTCTTCTTTGCTTCCAATCTTGTCTTGCGTGTTCTCTGGTCCTTGTTTTTTTCTGGTTCTGTCTTGCACTGTCTGGTCTTGGGTGAATTCACGTCTTGTTTTGGGTTTTGTCTTGCTTCAGGTCTCGTCCTTCATTTGGTCTGGTTTTATTTTTCTCCTTCGTGGGCTGCCATCTCATCATGGTGGCGAGGTTCGAGTGTCCCAGAGATCCCTGGAGCCCTTAGAGGCGTCCTGCCACTGGTTGGGTCAGTCTGCTGATGCAATCGGCTCAAAGCTCTCAGACCAAGAGTAGCCCAGAAACAGACTGGAGATAGAAAATGTTCCTGCTTTGAACTACAAAGATAGAAGTCAGGTTTTGCCCAGTGTTTTTTCAGCATGGTCGGGTCAACCAGGTATATTTTCCCCCCACCAGGCTTTGGGTTATTAATTGGGGATTTTTCAGTAATGATGGATGAACCTTGAGTTTTATAGATGAGGGATTGAACTGACTGACGGTTATGAAGTTATGAATCAGTCATGACGTCCCTTCAGCTGCCTGTTGGCTTAAATATTCTATTTCTGAATCATGATGCTTGGTGGTTCTCCCCGACTTTTTGTAATTTGATGTTTTTAACCCAAACCCACAGCAGGCAAGCTGATCAATGATCTTAGTGACCTTACCACCGGGCTCTGCAGGTTTTCAGGAAGTCTTCCTCTATGATTCATCCTGATCCACTGCTTCATTTTGACATGAAACTTTCTCAGCAACCTCCATTAAGGATTTGAGGAATACTGCTGTGATTTAAGTGATATTTGCTTGCGTGTTTTTGAAAAGTGGAGATTTCTGTCCGGTCTTTAAAGGGTTTGATGTGTCCTGTCCTGTTGCGACTTTCTTTAAGCATTTAATTTGATCAGGAATGTCAGATTTGTTGCAACATCATGATTATTTATTATTTCTAATGGTTCAATCAAACACTGTCTTATATATTTAAGTTGGGGTGTGTGTGAGAAAGCATACAATTTTGTCATTTTTTTAAATTTAATCAGTTGTAGAATGTGGAGTACTAGAAGATATTATGAGTGATAAATGAAATTGAAACCGTTTTAAGTCTAAAGCTGGAGCTTAAAGTTTGAAAACTTACCTAGAAAATGGTAGAACATGCCTGAATCCTGCTGCATTCATCTTATTTCGCGTCCATGTTGTGGCTCAGACTGAAGGAACAATGTGGCTGCAAGATGTTTGCAGGCTCCCCAGCAGCTGACATGCCGCTCGCTCTTGTTCCTGCAGTAAAACGAGGATGTGGGACATCTGGTAGCAGTCAGGAGGGAACAACGCCGCGCTCCTTCCCCTCACGGACGTTTCTCTGGACGCTGAAGTCGAACCAGGAGGTAGAAAATCTTCTCTCTGCTGACTTCAGAAGATTCAAGGGAAAAGAGAATAAAATGTAATTAATTTATAATGTCCACTAAGAAGCTTTTCTTTGCAGCAAATGTGTTGCAGAAAAGCAAACTGACGTCACATCATGTCCTATTTAAAACATCTCATAAAGGAATTATGAAAGGAACCAAAGAACCTTGATTTTTGACTTTACACACATTTTTCTCTGAATCATTTATAGTGTTAATTATGCATTTTATTCTGGAAAATGCTGAGTCTGCAGTTTGTTGCTGATAAAACCAGACGCTGAGCTTTATCAATGTGAGAATTTTCAAATTAAAGCTGTAGATGCCCCGACACGTTGCTTTTTAATCACCAATACTTTCATATTTAAGTTATTACGTTCAACTTATAGATAAAATCTGCTTTGCTGATAAAGTGAGGTGTTTCTAGATGTAGCATGTCTTTAAAAATCTGATTTATGAGCTTATTTATATATGTATATAAAACATGCTAATTATACTATTTGAAACAGAAGTACAGGAAGGGTTATTCTGGAACTGTTTCTCATAATGTGAATTATTTCCATGAAAATGAGCAGATTATTCCATTTTCTTGTTGTTTTTAAAGTTTGCAGGTTGTTTCTCACGGATCTGTCAGTGGAACGGCGAGTCCAGCACACCTGCTGCTACACTCAGGTCTTTTATTTAGTGGAAAGGTATGTGTTTTCTCTCCTTTCTGTGGCCTCCAGCACCTGATATTTACCCCGGTCAGGAGGCTAGCCCACCCCCAACCCTCCTGCAGGGACATCGGCTGAGTCACAAACCGCCTCCAATCACATGAGATCCGGTTATTTAAGAGTTTTACTGAATGTAAAACCCAACAAAGGAACAAGAAACTAAACAACACCAAATTCCATTTTATTCTCATGTTTCTGCAAAGTCAAAAGCCATTCGGCAGCCAGGCGTAGCGGACCGATCCGGACTGGATGAGGAACAAACTTTGGCTTTATTAGTTTGACACCAAAAACGTTCATGCAGTTTAGACAGAAAAAAGCCTAATACTTTTAGATAAATATGTACTATTTGAAATTTTGTCTCATTTTTAAAGGACCATTATTTTATTTATTCTTTAGAATTTAAAATAAACATCAAATTTGGCTAAAAATGTGAATGGAAAATGAACCTGCGTTTGGTTAAAAACTAAAAAGAACCCGTTTTTCTTCAAAGTTTACATAAAATAAAGATAAGAACCTTTGTGGAAAGACAAAAGAGCCTCTTAAATCAGAAAACATTTTAAAAGTTAATATTTATCTAAAAAAGTTGACTGGTCAGACTATAAAATCACACTTCAGGCTGTTAAGTTTGCAGACCAAATGTTTTTAAAGTAGATTCGGATACAAATGTCTTAGTAAACGGTACTAGTTGGCCCCCTGCTGTACCTTGTTGTTCTTTTTTATCGGCTCACCAGGTCCATCTCTCTGTTAATTGTTTTGGGATTTAGTTTTTTTTTTTTGATAGGGGGATCGACGGTATTTAACTCTCTTTCTGTCTTTACAGAAAATCAAAAGCAGCGGAACCAAAAGGAAATTTCTAGAGATTTTAAATAACAAGAATATTTGAACCGCAAATATACTATGCATTACTTTGTGTTGCCCTTTCATGTAACCAATTGCATATTGTGTTCATTGTGTTTTAAGGGGTGTGAATATTATGGGAGGTGATTCTAAGCAGCTGGAAACACAGAAAGAGCCTCATGTTTACACGAACTGAACCTGGGAGGAGAACGACTCAGAGACTCTCCAAAGACCCTCCTCCAGCAACAAGCGCTGTCCTGCCTCCTCTTCCTCCTCCTTCACCTCCTAGCCAGTCTCCTGAGAGCCGGACGCAGAGTTCAGTCTCTTATCCTCTAATTAACAGAGCATTTTCTGCCATTTCTGCAATCTCTCCCCCTCTGCTTCCAATGGGCCACAGAGACTGATCCAGCTGTTTGCGCTGCACACATGGATTGTTGCACCTTTGCTGCGGTTCTGGGATGTTTACGCATCGCGCTGCTCTGGGCTCTGCAACTAGGAGCGCAGGCGCAACATGGTAAGTGCAGTAACTGATGTATGCATGCAACCTCACAGATCCGAACCAGAACCTGATAGCACCGAGAACTAGGAGCAGAGTAGCTGCTGTCAAAAGGTTAAAAATCTGGGTCTGCAGAGCGTCTCAGAGCAGATCAAAGCTGATTGTAAGACACTTTAAAGGGCCTCAGGTCATAAAATGAGACACTGAGGGGCAACAACACCAAACATGTGGGGAGCACAGCAGGACGAGCTGGAGTAACAATAACTGTCTATGAAGCTCAGAGACATTTTGGACTCATCACTTCACCAAATGACAATGTAAATGCCTTACTGATAGTCAGTTATTCCAGTTCCAGCTGCTGTGGTTCTCTTCCTCACTGCATTCTGTCAAACCAAACAAATCCTGTGACCAACCTGTTCCCCTCCTCGCCTGTGGGGGCGCTGCACCAACAGCCACGCAAGAAAACAATATTAAAACCTCCGAGTCCAACTTCCTTCATCAAAAGTAAACAAAACTGGAGTGGCATCAGTGGCTGTTTTTGGAAAAAGACTACAAGCCATTTTTCCTGCTAGCACAAGACTAGCACGCTTGTTTTAGTTGTTTTTACCCAGAATGCCATGCGGTGTAGTCCACTTCCTGTTTTTATTGTGGTCTCAGGGCCGCTTGGTGTTCACATCTTCATTTGAATCGTTCCAGAGTTCACTTCAATCGAATCGAGAGTGTTTTAGGAGGACCAGAGTTCATTTTTTAGCTCCAGTCTGCCACCAACACGGTGCTGGACTGATCAACAATATTTGATTAATTTCTTTTTAATCTTCATTCTGTATTTTACCTTGAAGTGTATTATTTTTCCTGCACAACACAGACTAGGACTTTGTTATATAGAATGAAATTGCACATAAAAATAAAGGCATTCACCTTTTTCAAAGCTGCATTGACGCTGCAAATGCAACATATATCTGACTCCTTCTAACAATCTGATTTGTGCCACTTGCAGTCAGAATGCTCGTCACATTTTATTCGACTTTTCATGCGTCATAAATCTGGAGCAAAAGACGCTGAAGCTTTCATTTTTCTTAGCTCTCTTTGTCTTTTTCAAATTTTGTGATCAAACTATAAGGATTTGCTCCCGCTGCTCAACAACTTTAAAAGTTAGTCGGAGGAACAATGCAGTTCTTCAAAATCATAAGTGAGAATCAAGAACCGTTTGAATTTAGCCAAAGACAAATGTTTTGGGTGAATAGATTTCCATTTTCCTGTTCAAATATGTTTTCTTTGAAAAGGATCTGGAAGGTTTATTTGAAAACAGTCGCTTCATTCATGCAATCTGTTCAGCTTTAGTTTAAATCCCAGGAGACTTATGGTCCCATTTACTGGGACAAACTGGTTTAGATTTTGTTATGATTCAACACAAACCACAGCAGATGAAGAAGCTGAAACAGACTGGTGCAGGTATAAAGTAGATAAATATTCACATTTTATGCTTTAATTTCCTTCTTGCATTTTGTGTAAAATCCACTTTTTGAGCTTTCCATCACGTTATTTAATTCTTTCATAATGTTGCCCCTTTAAAATAAAATAAACTCATTTATGGATCAGCTGATCTCCAGATGGTCCAAAAGAGTTTACTGGTTTTTCTCTCCACCTATTCATCAGTTCTATAAACGTACTAATCCAGGGATTTAGCCTCCCGCTGCAGTCTAGTCGACCATCATCCTCCCTGAAGTCAAGGCTGTTTGGATGACCTGTGACCTCTCGCCTGTTCAGAGGAGCTTCCAGACGGGTCGCACGCTCAAACAGGCAACAGTGTAAACAGAAGCATTTGCTTTAAAGAAGTTGTCAACAGGAGGGTCGGCTGTAACTGTTTGAGACGTCCTGAATGTTTGTTCAGAGGAAGCGGAGTAACTCGGTCTGTTTCAGATCGCTGCTTTGACAACAAAAGCACAAAATTTGCAGGTTCGTCTTCACCTTAACGTCATGTGAGTCGCCCCCCGATGGACTGAATGTCGGTTCCTGAGGCAATCCAGGAGAGGAATATTATTCCTGGGACTGACATCACCTGAGGAGGTGAAAAGGTCCTTCCTGTTACTAAAATCAGCAATCCTGTCTCTGTTTTCCTTTAACTACTGAATTCTACAAGGTGAAATGTGAAGTTGTTCATTTGTTCTGCAAATCCTTATATAAATAGAACATGACACATTTTATATTCGCAAAAAGGAAAGGACTATCTCCAGCAAACACTCAGAATATCGTTTATGAAACAACCTAGTGAACCTAAATGCATCTTCAAATTGGGGAATGATTCCTGAAAAGTTTGGGAATGCGTCACTCCTCTCCTAATTGGATCATTTTTCCTCTCATGCTTGTTTTAAATGCACAAGTTGCTTGTAATTTGAAACCATCTCAATTCTGCATGTGGACCAAATGAAGTCCAGATTGGACCGTCTCTTCTGGGTGCCTGAATCGTAATGAAGCATTTCTGCTGAACCCCAGAAATACTAGGGGTTCGTTCCCACAAGCCCTGTTTAATCTGCTTTAACCGACTCCGGTCCGTTTGCCTAGAAAGTCCGGTTCCTTTGGGGAAGTGTGAATGCGTTATCCAACTCTGGTCCGCCTACAAATCTCGGTCTTGGTTCGGTTGAAGTGAACTTTGGTGCAGTTTCAATACATATGTGAACGCCAAGTGGAGCAGAGATTGCTCCAAAACCAGGAAGTGGACTGCAGCGCAGAGCATTCTGGGTAAATACAACCAAAACAAACATGTGAGTCTGGTTGTGGTCTTTTGCTTCCACTGCTAAAATATGAATTTACTCCATTTGTGTTTAAATTTTGGGAAGAAGGGAGTTGTCCTCAGTGTCTTCAGAGGTTTTTATGTCGTTTCCTTCATTTTTACATATTATGAGAAAACAGAGCAGCAGAATCCTGAGAAAGTTGGGCAATAATTACAACAGTTTGTCTATTT